TTTAAACAATTCCCACCTGCCTGATTCATCCGGCGAACAATCTATGAGATTTCTGAATTTATGATGTGCAATATCATACTCTGTAGGGATGCAATTGTTGCCACCAAAATAGCTTTCAAAGACTTTCCAATACCCTGGAAATTGTGCAATTTCTGTTTCTTCAAGCTGGGTTCCCATTAATCTAGTTGCCACCAACCGAAGAATAGACGTTGGGCCCAAATTCACGGCTGGTGTAACTCCATTGATTTCATGGATGAAATTGGCCCTTTTTTGAAGTTTGACTGAGGGAGAATTTGTTTTTCTTACAAGAGCAGTGATTTTTGGGAAGCCAGATAGATTTTATTATCAAAGGAATAAAAAGACAGAAACACATTGCTTTACTCTCGCTGATCCACCTGTTAAAAGAATCCTTGGTGAGTTGTACCTTGTAGTTTTGAATGGAACTCATCTGCTTACCGCTTTCTAAAAGCAGTGTGTAAAGCCCATATTTGCAAACTGTGTGGCTGACAAATTTGTGCGATGCAAGGAACAATGTTCAAAACAATACAGTGGGAGGAGGGAAAGGGTAGTGAATAAATGGAGTGGTTTTAAATGGGATTAGCAAAGTTCAAAACCAAACTTGTATATTTCCTCAGAAGTTTTATGGCCACATCTAGAACAGATATCTGTACAGTAGTTTGTTGTTGTACTGATGTAGGTATTTTTGTTATGCTTATTGCTATCTGTGGCCAATGTGAGAATAGTGATTTACTGTTAGAAGCCCCAAGGCTGTACTGAGCTTGCTGCAGGGCATTGGGGATGTATGTGAGGAAGTTTTCCCAAGATTGAGCCTGATTAGTTTTCTGTGTGAACCTGTACTGGAATAAGAGATTTTCTTTTTCAGTTCTAATCTGTTTTGGGTCTCTGTATGGTGTCAGTTGCTTAAACAAGCATAGGAGAGCCTTATTATGTGCAAGCATATATGACCACTTGAGCTGCTACACAAGGATCTGCAGCTTTGTGAAAAGTGTGTCTCATGCACTGAAGCAAGTAAAGCTATAATGTGACTCCAGTCCTGTGACCTACAAATCCATTCCAGAGTTTGCGACTGCAGTGGCGAGAACTCCAAAGGTTTGAGAAAAAAGAAAAGGAGTACTGAAAGGTTTCAGAGTAGCAGCCGTGTTAGTCTGTATTCACAAAAAGAAAAGGAGTCCTTGTGGCACCTTAGAGACTAACCAATTTATTTGAGCATTAGCTTTCGTGAGCTACAGCTCACTTCATCGGATGCATTCAGTGGAAAATACAGGGAGGAGATTTATATACACACAGAACATGAAAAAATGGGTGTTATCATACACACTGTAAGGAGAGTGATCACTTAAGATGAGCTATTACCAGCAGGAGAGCAGAGGTGGGGGAGTGGGGGGGAAAGAAAACCTTTTGTAGTGATAATCAAGGTGGGCCATTTCCAGCAGTTAACAGGAACGTCTGAGGAGTGGTGGGGGGTGGGGGGGAAATGAACACAGGGAAATAGTTTTACTTTGTGTAATGACACAACCACTCCCAGTCTCTATTCAAGCCTAAGTTAATTGAATCCAGTTTGCAAATTAATTCCAATTCAGCAGTCTCTCCTTGGAGTCTGTTTTTGAAGTTTTTTTGTTGTAATATTGCCACTTTTAGGTCTGTAATCGCGTGACCAGAGAGATTGAAGTGTTCTCCGACTGGTTTTTGAATGTTATAATTCTTGATGTCTGATTTGTGTCCATTTATTCTTTTGCATAGAGACTGTCTGGTTTGACCAATGTACATGGCAGAGGGGCATTGCTGGCACATGATGGCATATATCACATTGGTAGATGTGCAGGTGAACGAGCCTGTCAAGGTTCCTCCCCCACTCTGAACTCTAGGGTACAGATGTGGGGACCTGCATGAAAAACCTCCTAAGCTTATCTTTACCAGCTTAGGTCAAAACTTCCCCAAGGTACAAAATATTACACCCGTTATCCTTGGAATGGCCGCTACCACCACCAAACTAATACTGGTTACTGGGGAAGAGCTGTTTGGACGCGTCCTTCCCCCCAAAATACTTCCCAAAACCTTGCACCCCACTTCCTGGACGAGGTTTGGTAAAAAGCCTCACCAATTTGCTTAGGTGACTACAGATCCAGACCCTTGGATCTTAAGAACAATGAACAATCCTCCCAACACTTGCACCCCCCCTTTCCTGGGAAATGTTGGATAAAAAGCCTCACCAATTTGCATAGGTGACCACAGACCCAAACCCTTGGATCTGAGAACAATGAAAAAGCATTCAGTGTTTTACAAGAAGACTTTTAATAAAAAATAGCAGTAAATAGAAATAAAGAAATCCCCCCTGTAAAATCAGGATGGTAGATATCTTACAGGGTAATTAGATTCAAAAACATAGAGAACCCCTCTAGGCAAAACCTTAAGTTACAAAAAAGATATACAGACAGAAATAGTTATTCTATTCAGCACAATTCTTTTCTCAGCCATTTAAAGAAATCATAATCTAACACATACCTAGCTAGATTACTTACTAAAAGTTCTAAGCCTCCATTCCTGTTCTGTCCCTGGCCAAGACGACTACAGACAGACACAGACCCTTTGTTCCTCTCCCTCCTCCCAGCTTTTGAAAGTATCTTGTCTCCTCATTGGTCATTTTGGTCAGGTGCCAGCGAGGTTACCTTTAGCTTCTTAACCCTTTACAGGTGAGAGGAGCTTTCCCCTGGCCAGGAGGGATTTCAAAGGGGTTTACCCTTCCCTTTATATTTATGACAGAGCCTCTGATAGTGTGGCTGATGTGATTAGGCCCTATGATGGTGTCCCCTGAATAGATATGTGGACACAGTTGGCAATGGGCTTTGTTGCAAGGATAGGTTCCTGGGTTAGTGTTTTTGTTGTGTGGTGTGTCGTTGCTGGTGAATATTTGCTTCAGGTTGGGGGCTGTCTGTAAGCAAGGACTGGCCTGTCTCCCAAGATTTGTGAGAGTGATGGGTCGTCCTTCAGGATAGGTTGTAGATCCTTAATAATGCGTTGGTGAGGTTTTAGTTGGGGGTTGAAGGTGACGGCTAGTGGCGTTCTGTTATTTTCTTTGTTGGGCCTGTCCTGTAGTATGCAGGAAATGCAGAATGTGAGAGTCCGGAAGGCAGAATGCACTTATGAAAGCAAAGAAGCAACTCATTCTGTCTAGGTATTTGTGTGACCCCTGTCAGCATAATATCCGATTATCCATGGGCTCTTGATCTCTTCAAGTTTTCATGTTCAAAGTGAACAGATAGGGCTGAATGGCAAAATTGCCACCGGGCCTTGGGGATGTTAATTTTGTATCTCTTCCTAGAAATGTAACCTCCAGCCTCACACTGTGATGGGCATAGAGAAGAAAAGGTGCTGTCTACAGCTTCATCTGGCATAGCCTTTCATGCCTGGAAATGGGCCTTCTAGTTCACTGCTGGGGCAGGTGGGGAAGCTTGCACTTCACAACCACCTGAGCTGTTCCAGGTAGAGAACTTTACTCTTCAGACTTATCAAATCGATTGCCATCCTCTCTTAGCACAGAATACACACACACAAAGTATTTTCTTGTTAGCAAACAAGGGTGCCCAAATTACACAGGTGTCTCACCTGTGTTGTATGGAAACTCTTCCATTTTAGGTATAAATGGTTTCTCCAATGGTGCATGTCCATTGATTCCTAGAGCGGCTTGAAAAAGACTATGCATGTTGAAATTTTGACCATAAAATGAAGGCAGGGAGGGAAATTTGTGAGAATTTCCCCTCCTCCCCCATTCTTGCCCCCAGCCAACTCCATTTGCTTGTAAAATTCCTCATTACTTATTGAGTGCTCAAAGAGGTGGTAGGTGTTCCACAAACCAAAGAGAGGTTTCAGAGGAACAGCCGTGTTAGTTTGTATTCGCAAAAAGAAAAGGAGTACTTGTGGCACCTTAGAGACTAACCAATTTATTTGAGCATGAGCTTTCGTGAGCCACAGCTGAGCTGTGGCTCACGAAAGCTCATGCTCAAATAAATTGGTTAGTCTCTAAGGTGCCACAAGTAAACCAAAGAGAGAATTCCTCCTCAAAGAAGGTACAATCTGCATTTGACATGACACAACAGCTGTCACAACAAACTAAGGTGACGAAGAACAAGGGTGACGATACACAGTTACTCAGTAAGCCTGTATACACGTTGATGGTAGTGTTACGTACTGTCCCACTCTCTTTCACATATAGTATTACATTATGTGAGGCATACACATTTGTTTGCTTTCTAACTAGGCCAGAGTGTGAAAGAAAGTAATATGTATTTTTACTGTAGTGTTGTGATAGGAATCAAATTCAGAATAAGCCTGAGTGGATAACAAGGACTGAGTCTGAGATCCATGCTGTCCCTTTTAAAACAAACATGCAGAGTTAACCTGTGGAACTCATTGCTAGGGGATATTTCGAAGGCCAAACTTATACCAGGATTCTGAAAAGAACTAGATAAGTACATGGAGGATAGGCCGATCACTGGCTATTTGCCAGGATGGTCAAGGATGCAACCCCATGCTCTGAGTGTCCCTAGCCTCTGTTTGCCAGAAGCTTGGAGTGTATGACAGGATGGATCACTTGACGATTGCCTGTTCTGTTCATTCCCTCTGAAGCACTTGGCACTGGAAGATAGGATACTGAGCTAGATGGACCATTGGTCTGACCCAGGATGGCCGTTCTTATGTTATGTTCCTAAATGCAATGAAACGGAAAGCTGTAAAATATTTGAGCAGACTTGACTTGCAGCATCAAGTCCAAAGTAAGGACCCTGCTGAAAGGATAGATTGCAAAATGCTCTGGAGAGCAAGGGTTCAGTTAATTAGCATTGTTTAATTAAAATCATGTCACAGGCAAAGGAGCTGGTGCTGTCATAGGAGCCAATAGTATAAGTAGCACTAAGAGCAGGGGGAAAGTGAAATCTTCCATATTGCTGATGTGCAGCTAGTTAAGGGTCGGCGTGGATCTCAGAATGGGTCCTTGTTACATACGCAGGCTCATTCTGAATTTGATTCCTCTCCACAGTGCTACCGCAATCACACTTATTGCTGTGGTCTTTGCTAATGCTTTAGATCGTGGACTGGAAACTTCTCAGCTTATTGTGGCATTTCAAGCTCCTTGGAATGCTTCCCACCCACTTAGTGCCCGAAAGCTGGGCTCAGCTATCCAGATTGCCATTGATAAAGTCAATACAGACCCATCTTACCTGGGTAACTACACCTTGGATTTTGTTTATGCTGATTGCGGCTGTGATGCCAAGAAGTCCGTCAATGCTTTCATCCATCAGGTTCAGGAGGAGAACGTTTTGGCCCTGTTCGGACCTGTCTGCTCAGAAGCAGCTGAGGTAGGTATGACTTCCCACCACTTTCTCTCTCCCAGCCTTGCCACTCTTTGTACTGTGTATATTTCTGCTTTTCTTATGAGTTGACTAATTCAGGGAGTTGTGTTTCACCTATAAATCTCTAACTGGACTACCTTAAAGATGTGAATTTAGCCCTGGTGCTTGAGTTAACAGCTGCTTGTGGAAAGTGGCTCCTGGGAAGATGTTTCCCCTGAATTCTTCTCAACTCTGGAACTTGCTTTCCTCATCCTTGGTCTGATACAGCCTGAGATTGCTGGCTTTCAGAGCATTCTGTAAAGCTGATCTCCTTTCACAGGCTTTTGTGGAGGGATGAATTAAGGGGGAGAATGTTGTTAGTTCTGATGGGCAGGGAGCATTTTAGTTGTGCTGTCAGTCCAAAATGTATTTTGGTTTGCATGTGTGCTTAGATCTTAGGGCACAGTGTACAAATCAAGGGAAAAAATAAAATTAATGACAGGTTTCAGAGTAGCAGCTGTGTTAGTCTGTATCCGCAAAAAGAAAAGGAGTACTTGTGGCACCTTAGAGACTAACAAATTTATTTGAGCATAAGCTTTTGTGATGAAGTGAGCTGTAGCTCACGAAAGCTTATGCTCAAATAAATTTGTTAGTCTCTAAGGTGCCACAAGTACTCCTTTTCTTTTTTGCAAATAAAATTAAGATAATTGCTCCTTGGAGGGGGGGGGGGGACGACTATCAGTTCTGAAAGTTAATGAAAATCATGGAAAGGATAAAAGTGATACTTCCTAATAAATAACACTTATTCTAAGTCTAGGACATTGTGTCTATCAGATATATCCAGGCTATTATACACAGTCCCCCCCCCCCAACTTATCTCAGGATAGAAGAATGATAAGTTACTGTCTATTGTTAAAATGCCCATATTAAATTATTCCCATAGGCTATAAAAAGTTGCCTGCCGGGGTTGTTTGCCAGTTTCTACGGGGAGCTTTGAAAATCTCAGCTGTTCTGCTTAGGAAGCTACTTATGGCTAGTTAATAGAATTACTTCTGTAAGTCAAATCTTCTTGTTTTACACCAGTAAGTTTCATGGGTCAAAAGCCAAACCTCAGTGACATTGAACAGGATTGATTTTTGTTGTTGTTGTGAAAATTGTTCTTTTAAAATCTGCTGGAAACAACTGAAGACCTTTTAGTAAGAATGTTAAGAAGGTGGCTGACTTGTAAGCAGTGATAGGCAAAAGGCCCAGAGTTTTTGTTCTATCTGGATTGGAATCCAAACGGTCAAAGGTTCATCTGAATCTCTTTGGCCTGCCAATCCCATCAGAACTAGCTTTCTTTTGAGATGTTCATTTCCTCCTGAGAAAGTGCGGGTTTGTTTGCACTATAGTCAGAGCTACAGTTCGCACATTGCATGGCAATAAAACAATGTGGGACTTTGACTACAAATAGAGCTTTGCCATATCAAAGTTCACAATAAGCAGAATCTGTTATACTGTGGGATTACCCCCCACCCCTCACAGTTTCTGCTTCTAATTATAGAAGTGGGTTTGGAATAGTCTTTCTTGTTCAACTTTCCATGCCATTGCTGCAGGATTGTTCCCTAGACCTGTCCATTTGGTGCATTGTCCCATCTGGTTTAAATATACCAACTGATGGTGTTTCTGCTCCTCTGCTTGGGACTATTCATCAATGTAACAGGGTAATTTCCCTGTGCTGGTGATTGATGATTAATTAAGGCCCTCTGCCCCTCATGCTATGCCCTGGTATAGATACCACCAGATCTACTTTATTCTGTAGTTTCTCTCTCTTTCCTGTCTTCTTTTCTCTCTTTTTTTCTTCTTCTTTAATTCGCTGTCCCCAGTTCCCCATTCACACCAGTTAACTTCATGTCTCTTGGCCTGGGAGATCCCCTGTTGTCTCTGAGGCCACAGGGTGTGCTCCCAAGGCTCAGCTACACAGGCAGTGGTCAGAGATCAGACTTTGAGACAGCAGCCAGGTGTCTCAGAAAGATGCTTCTCGGGCCAGCTGTCTTAGAGGCCACTGAGGGAGCAGCCAGTTTCCAAGGGGGCACCATCTGCTTGGGGCATGTTTGTATTGAAGTTGGATCCAGGGTCATATCAGAGCTTCCCTGACTTTGCTAGTTCCTATCCAGCCACCCATTCCCAGTCCCTGATCTCACCCCTTTCCTTCTGATCCCGATTCCCCGATCCTTTCTGACCCCTTCCTTCCTGACCCTGCCTTTTCTGCTTCCCATTCTCAAGCCTATTCCTGCTCTCTTCCTGTGACAAATCTAGGGCTTGTTTACATGGGAAAGTGTTTTTCAGACCATATCAATTCCCTCATTGCAAAATATTTCAAATAATCAGGCCTGGATATTGGGAGAGAGGGGGTGTACGGGGAAATGCGAGTGGGGTGGGTTTTGCTCCTGTGCAGTGGGAGGGGCGCTAGAGTGCAAGGGAGGGTTGCGGGGAGCAGCACCATGGGGAAGGAGCTGGGGGATGTAAAGGAGAGGTGGCTGTCCCAGGGAGAGCTGTAAAGACAATTGGAGGGCAGAGGTTTGTGCAGGGCAAAGGGCCCACACAGTTAGGGGTAGTGAGTGAGCAGGTGGCCCCTACCAAGAGCCACGGGAAAGAGGCAGGTGGAGAGGGAGATGAGGAGCTGCAGAGGAGCTGGCTAGGTGGATGGTGAGCAGAGATCTACACTTAATGTACAAAAACTTGCTTGCTTGTCTTTCACTTCCCCATCTCTCTGTTTGTCTCATCCATCCCCTGCATCCTGCCTTAATGTACTCTGGGAGCTCTTTGGGGCAGAGATGGGTCCAACAAGTGGATCTGATCCTGGACAGGCGCCCTTAGGCATCCCTGTAATAACGAATAATAATACAACCGGGAGGGAGCCGAAGCTGGAGAATTGGGGCGTGGGAGGAGCATGGTGCCCACAGGGAAAGAGCTTCCTTCTCAGCAGTTCTGTGACATCAAAGGCTTGAGATGTCGAGGAGCAAGTAACCCTTGGCTTCTCCACTGTAGCACATTGACCCCAAGAGTGGGCAAGGAGATACGGTGAAAATTCTCTTTAATAAAAAGGAAGTCAGAGCTTAATTAGCCCCCTTCTGGATCTGTGCTGTTCATACTCTCTCTCCAGGCAGGCCTTAGTGGGGTTGGTGTCCTAGATGGAAATAATACTGGAGCCTCCGCGCCAATGCCCTCAGAGAAGTCCTCAAGAGCTCCCCATAACACACCATAGCCCTGCTCTGAGCATGTATTAACCATGGCTAACACTGCTGAGCCTGGCTTGTCCTGGCCTACGCTTATAGGCAAGCTCTGCTCATCACTGCTTCAGCTCTGCCTGTCACTGACACCCACTGTTAGCAGTGAGTCTACTACTAACGTAGACAGGCTCCTCTCTTCCACCCCCCCATTCCTCTATCTCCCTGCCTTCCTCACTTTCTGTGACACACTCCTGAGGTAGCCAATGGATGCTGAACACGGTTATTCATGAATGCGCCTTTGAATTCTTAAATGGATTTGTTGTGGCTGTGCTCCCAGCAGTTTCACATTTGCTTGCCATGTGTGAGCTAGGGAGTGAGTTTCTTGGCAGGAATGTTGGAACACAAATTCGGTGTTTGTGTAACCCACACACCTCCTGGGTGTGGTGCTCTGTCCCATTTAGTGGCACTCAGAGCACTTAGAGAGTGATTAATGAGTCTGCTACAGACGTAGCTAAAGGCTATGTGGCTTTTAGCTCATGCAGTAGAGGCTCATGCATTTAGCTACAGAGGTCTTAGGTTCCATCCCGCCTGCCGACGACCAGGATCTGTTAGTGTTACATTTGCAATTGCAAGGATCCACACTGGAAACCTGACTCGAGGGAATCATACCCATCTACGCAGGGACCAGAACCATACAATATGACCTGCATGTCCAATCCAAATAGCTTGATGGTCAAAGCAGCCCTGCCAGGATGAAGCTTGCAGGCTGAAATACGGTGGTGAAAAAGTATCCAGCAAATAGTTTCAAGTGACAGAAAAATTCATGAAAGTTGTGATCTGCTCGTGATCAGTGTGGATTCTAATAACAGAATATTCATGCCAGCCAGTTGAACTCTAGTGTTCACACTCTAGTCACATTCGTGCTCCTGGGTGCAGAAGCGCACTGGACCTTCTCACTATTCCTACCACTCCTTTATAGCAGCATGCTCCAGGGATGGCATCATGGCAGGCCTGGGGGATTCAGCTCAAGGCAGCATCTCTTGCAACTGCTGGGATTAGATAACGGAGGTTCCATCCCCAGGCTCGCAGGGATGGAATGCGAATGGGCAAAGGACTTGTCCATGGCACCCAGTCATATTCTTTCCTACACTGCTGTTTGTAATTACCTTGACTTTATTACTTATATTAATTACTGAGATCAGGACCTCATTGTGCTAACTACTGTACAAATGCAGTGTGAGATAGTCCCTATCCCAAGAAGTTTAAACAGCCCAGGAATGGAAGGGGAAATAGAGTCCCAGAAATGTGAAATGATTTTTCCATTGTCCCACAACAGAGCTGGGAATAGAACCCAGCTCTCCTAAATCCTATGCCTTAACTACTGTCTTTTACCACCTTTCGTCCAGCTGTGATCCCAAAACAGTGCTGATACCCAAACCAATTTAAATGATTTTTCAGAGTATGTTATACCAATAAAATAAAAACCATCAGGATCTTATTAAAGGGGAAAAGGCAAAATGCCACATTTATTGTGAATACAGAAAGAATCATAGTAAGCAGTTAGTTATAGCTATAACATTCCATTCAATTTCATATTTATTCACACATTCATTCACACACACGCATACATACACACACACACACACACACACAGATTCTGCAAGGTTGTTATCATAGTTACCAGCCTTAGAGTTGCTCATGCCAAGCCATTGGCCAGGTGGCCTGGACATGAGGAGGGAGCAGGACCTTGTCTGATGCTCCTGGAAGTTGGTTTACAGAATCAGACCCCAAAGTTCTCACTTTCTAGAGTCCATTTTTATAGGAATTTCTTCCTAAGCCAGTCTATGGGAATTGCTTCATCATGTTGTTGCTGAATCAATCAGCAGATGGCACATTCCTGACGGCTCCGTGCTGCCAGATGTTATCTTGTTCTTTGGTTCTCCGATTCTTGAGGCTGTTGGGTGGATTCCAGTCTGCCCTCTGGGCGTCCTCTGGTTATTTCCACTTGATGCCTTCTTCAGCTGATGGACACTGGATTCTTAGGCTGGCACCTCCCTGATCATTCAGTTATTATCCACACCAAGCATCCATCCACATACATCCTCTCTCTCTATTTTAATCACAATTGTTAACAAAGCGAGATGAATACAACAAAAAGGCGGGGAGTCTCTGGGTGCTGTTTCTGTTGTTACAGAGTATTGCTTTGAATCTCTCTCTGTGTGAGTAGTTGTTGTTACAAAGAATTGCTTTGAGAACAGACTCTGTCTTAGAATGTACTAACACAGTTAGCAGCTTGAAGAAAAGGAGTACTTGTGGCACCTTAGAGACTAACCAATTTATTTGAGCATGAGCTTTCGTGAGCTACAGCTCGCTTCCAAATAAATTGGTTAGTCTCTAAGGTGCCACAAGTACTCCTTTTCTTTTTGCGAATACAGACTAACACGGCTGTTACTCTGAAACCAGTTAGCAGCTTGCAAGTTTCACACATAGAGGGAGAGAAACAGTACCAAAAACCAAGAGACCTCTTAATTAGTAATACCTTGGAATTTAAACTATGGGGAATCAAACTCATTTGTGATTTTAATACAGAACTTCTCTAATATGATCCAACAAGTACGCTCTTTCAAGATTCTTTAGCAAACGTTTTACTAACATCCAGATATATAACATCTCTACTGTGCTTCTTTTAGCTACTAGTTTTGCAATTCTGTGTTTAAAAAAATAGAGAAAAACCAATCAAGCTTGTCTGGCAAGATTAGTTTCTTATGAATGTAGACTATTTATAGTTTCTGGCACCTTTTGCTTTTAGATATTTAGTGATTATTTTTCTCTCTTCATATTTGTTTCAATATTTTACTATGTTTAGAAATTAGATCTAAATTAGATCTAGGATCACCCTTCTTACTTTGGCTGAATGCTGGTATGTTGTTTTGCTTTCCCCCAATCTTCTGGTGTCTCCATAGAGCTTCAAAATTAAATCCAAATGTAAATTCATTCACTGTTTCCCTTTACACTCTAAAAGCTGTTTCACCCAGGCCAGCTGATTCATATACATTCTCCCTTTTCAGGAGTTCCTTTACCTGATGTTCACCTCTGCAGCCCTCGGCAAGTAGATTTCCGTTTGTAAAAGACACAGCTCACCACAAAAATGCTTATCTTCAGTCATTGACCACTTTCAGTAGAGTATCCGTAGTTGTTTGTTCGTGTAATCTCCCTGAATCTCTGTTGTTAGCGTCACTCTTCCACTTCACTACTCAGTGTGCTTACTCACACACCTGTTATACCTGTGACACTAAGCATAGTTTGCTCTTATATACTGCCTTCCCCTTTGCTGTTAACCCAGCCTACACACAGAGCTTTCAAACAAAGAAATACAGCTGTAATGGGGAACAGTCCGTCAACCAGTTCTGTACCTTCACACACTTGCTACTCTGAGTAATGTGTGTGTAGTTATGTTTGAACCTAATTTCCGCTATATGTTTTCATGCCTCCTTGTAAACACCACAAGAAAAGGTTTTATTGGCATTGAAAGTGGTGGGTTAGATTTTGGGTCCAAGGTGGAATCCTTGTCTAGACATGGCCAAAATGTAACCTGATTTCTAGGGAAGATTGTCAGTGGGATAAGAAAATGTTAGCCATGAAAGGAGCCATCTCTCCCCTTTGCATCATACCACAGAGGGCATGGTGTGAGTGCAATCGGCCTCATCATGGACGCCTATAAAGCATGCTTAAAGGTGATTTTGCAATTGCTTATAACAATTGTATTTGCTTAACCACTTATGATTGTTTTATTTTTAATTTCTCCATGACTAACCATTCCCAAACCTAAAAGAAATTCCTCATAGAAGACGAACGGCTTTCTAAGCGTGGAGTATTTTTGTTCAGCCATTTCTGAGTTACTGGAACATACATCTCCTTGCTAAGATGAAGTATGAAAAGCTGGTCCATCTGCGGCCACTAAATGGTTTAGTAGTTACCTATGGAACCATCTGCTCCAATTTTATTACTTTTGTCTTTCCTTCTCCCCGATTTTCCTCCTGTTCGTCACACTCACTCATTGCATCTTGTATCCAATTACATGGTGAACTCTTCAGGGTAGGAACTGTCTCTTACTGTGTGTATGTACCATGCCTAGCACATAGAATCATAGAATCTCAGGGTTGGAAGGGACCTCAGGAGGTCATCTAGTCCAACCCCCTGCTCAAAGCAGGACCAATCCCCAATTTTTGCCCCAGTTCCCTAAATGGCCACTTCAAGGATTGAACTCACAATCCTGGGTTTAGCAGGCCAATGCTCAAACCACTGAGCTATCCCTCCCCCGAAGGGAGATCAGTGAGGTCCTGATCTTCGCTGGGGTCACTAGGGTGCTGTACTAATACAAATAAATAAACGTTTAAAAGTGGGTTTCAGAACCAATTAGGAGTGTGTGAAAGTAGGTTACAAAGAAATTCTGGCGGGAACTCTGTCATAGCGTTAACCAAAGCGACCATAGTGATATTTACATCGAGTCTTAATAGATGCAGAGTGAATATCCTTCTGGGAGCAGTGGGAGGAAAAAAAAAATTCCCTTTTATTGTGCTCAGCTCTACGTGATCCCCAGCTCTTTCAAATATGTAAATTCCTTTTGTCAATGGGGAAAATATTTAAAGAGATACATGGCCATGAATGCATGGGATAAGATATGGGAAATAAGCACTGTTCAGTAAAGGTACGGCATATGACTCAAAAAGAACAGGAGTACTTGTGGCACCTTAGAGACTGACAAAGGCACAAGTACTCCTGTTCTTTTTGCGGATTCAGACTAACATGGCTGCTACTCTGAAACCTGTCATATGACTCAGTGTAAACTACTGAATAAGCTTGTGCTTTTTTTGCAGAAAGCCGGTGCCTGTGGGACTTATATGGCATGGTGGTCTTTTTCTTTTCCTCTGTTCACCAGTGAATTTCATCCCATGTAACCAGTTCAGATATAACAGCAGTGAATCCCTGCCCTGCTGGAGGTCTACACAATTTCAGTTGCCCAATAATTTTAATCACAGACCCACAGTAGCTGCTCAGCAATGAGGTGATGCTAAATGCTGTTTGAGAAGTGACTCATAAAGCCTACAAGGAGGCTACCCTTGTGGATGTGTGTTTATGTTATTTGTTAGGTGTGTTTGACTTTGTGGGTAGAGAGAAAAGCAGAAAAACTTTCAGGCTGACTTTTGCTGGCAGCCAGAATCATATGAGATGCTCACTAGAGAAAGTATTATCCCTGATTATCAATGGTATGGGTTACCTTAGCAATAGAGAAACCTATCTGGACTTTTACAGGGATCCCTATATCATCAGGACTCCTTTAATAGACTTCATTAATGAAATGTCAAATTGGCACCACTAACTTTTCTCTTTCACATCATTCTTATCACAGAATAGAGCCTGCAGCATGAAATATTTCTGTGTCCTCATTTGAATTTGAAAGTGAACTTTGATTTGACCATGTTTTTGATACTTCCATGTTTTCATTCTAAAAACTTCCGAGTACTTGAGGTTTAATACTATGAATTTTCAAGAAAAGTGAATTTCAATCCTGACTATGCGCTAATTTCAAATAGCCTGTGTTGAACAGAAACAATGCAGCATGGTTTATGTAAGTAACCAGCACAGTGTGAATTTGTGTAACTTGCATAGTCATTACTGATCTTTTGTTGTTCTGAATTTTGAAAATGATTCCTACCTTTTGTAACAGATCAAACTAAGTCTCCGTATTGAAACAACCACAGACATGAGGATGTCCAAAATCTTGATCTGAATCCTCATTTTGTGGCATGAGTCGAGCTCTTAGCACTTAATTTGAGGAGTGAGGGAAGAATTTGGAATGTTGAAGTCAATGGAGTTAACCAGGGATTAATTTGGTCCATACAATATTAAACCCCAATTCTTAGGCTTTACACAGGATAAGCTAGTTCTTCAGCTATACAGCATCATTGTTCTATAACAATATGGGGGCTATTTCTGATTTCACACTGGTGTAAATTAGGAATAACTCAATTAAAATTAATGGAGTGGCTGTAAAACTGGTGTGAGAGGAGAAGCAGATGCCAATAAATCTTATTAATCAAAACAATTCACTGCTACTTATCAGTCTAACCTTTGCATTTTAAACACTGGTATTAAATAACAATGTCTGAAAAAACCCTTTTTGTTGCCATCTAGATTACTGGTTTGCTGGCTTCTCATTGGAATATCCCCTGGTTTGGATTTGGTGGCCAGAGTCCAAAGCTGGACAATGCAGATCTATATGACACCTATGTCAAACTTGTCTCCCCTCTGCAAAGGATAGGGGAAGTTCTGCATAAAAGTCTGCAGTATTTTGGCTGGAAATACGTTGGATTATTTGGAGGTTCATCTGATGCTTCCACCTGGGAGAAAATGGATGAACTCTGGACGTCTGTCGAAAACCAACTCAAAGTCAATATCACTATCACTGCTAAAGTCAAATACAACACAAAAGATCCAACTCTCCATCGGGAAAACCTCAAGTACATATTGTCTGTTGCCAGAAGTAAGTTCCAGTTTAAAAGTGTTTTTTACTGTCTGGCTTTAAAGGGACTACATGTAGAAGTTTGCCAAATACAGATGAATGAAAAATTACTACAACACATTACTTGTATCAATCTGGAAGCTTATCTGGTATAATTTTATTAAACACAGTGGGCTATTAGGGTATGTCTACATTGCATACTAAGCCCAGGCTCTGACTCAGGGTTCAGTCCACTCCCTTCCTTCCACAAACAAACCAGTCTGACTTGGGTTATCAAGCACTCAACCCCAAGGTCCTAAGACCCTGCCGAGGGTGTGGGTGGCTCAGATCCTGAGTCCCTCTGAGACTTCGCTCTAAGTCCAGTAATTTTGCAGTGTGAATGCATATCAAGCTGCAGACCCAGGTCAGAAAGTCTTTGTAGCACAGTGTAGATGCTTTAGCATGGCTGTGAGACCAGACTCCAGCCATTTTAAACCCAGGTTTACAATCCAGTGTGGATGCTCAAGCACAGGCTTGGAAATATTAAAGCCAGAAGTCTAGGTCCCAAAGACCCAGGTTTAGTGTGCAGTGTAGACATAGCCTTAGTTACCTGTGGACTTCAATTGGAGAGCAAAATATGGCCCGCCATATTAAAGCAAAAATATGCTCATACCCCTCTGCCTCCTCCCCCACAGAGTATAGCTTGACTCGTATTTGTGTAATAACATGTCAATGGGAATAGGCTATGGGAGTGGAATGTGATTGTCAAATCCACCTGGCTGAACCAGAATTTTGCCCTTAGCTTTTCTCACATATGTAGGTCAGAGGAAATGAGATGCACAGCGTTGCCTGGGGCTTATTCATTTTTATGCTTAAGGAAAGAAACTCTAGCAGGAAGCTTGAATTGACTACTTCTTGGTGTATATGCTGCATTATTATTTTAGAATTATTATATTCAAAAGGTCAACTTTAAGTGACTTAGAGGGGGTTGATATGTTCTCACTAGCTGTGGAGTAAAGCAGGCAAGGCTCTATAAATAGGAAACATTCCCCTCTGAGTGAGAATACAGCAGAAAGAGTGTCTTAGTGTGGGTGGAACCTGGAAACCACTGACTTAAATGGCAGGTTTCAGAGGAACAGCCGTGTTAGTCTGTATTCGCAAAAAGAAAAGGAGTACTTGTGGCACCTTAGAGACTAACCAATTTATTTGAGCATGAGCTTTCGTGAGCTACAGCTCACTTTTGCATAGACATCATTGTGCTAGGCACCATACAGTCTATGAATAGGCGACACTCCCAAACAGGCGACACACCCCAGAGGGATATGAAGAGTGATTCAGATGTTGACTTGTTTTTAATGTAACTGGAGAACTCTTTTTATTCTTTATTTCAGCATCCTTGTTAATTTAAATAAATTCAATCATAACTACATAACAGCAGCAAACAAAAGAACTCCCCATATGCAACACTGATCTCATTTCAGTTTGAAGTGCATAGCACTGCTGTGACTGTCAACTACTGCAGGAAAAAGGATCTAAAAGCCACGTGTAACATGCAAATGGACCAACAACAATTTGCAAGTCTGGTTAGCTAGACCTGTTAGATAAACTCGTTTGTTCGTTAAAAGTCTTTTTCTAAAATAGCCCTTTGGCAGCTGGTATGTCCCCGTTAAAACTGACTTCTAAAGGGTTTAGCTACAGATTTCTCTCCAGCAATCAAAGGGTTAAACGTGGCTTGTGAACGGGGAATGACTAGAACCCGTTGAAAAATTTGAAACAAAATGTTTTCCCATAAGAAAGCTGGGTTTTGTTGAAATGAAATTTTTCCATCTAAATGAACAAGAGAAACATTTTATTCTGGGTCAGCATTGATCTGTGTCTTAATCCAATCCAGTGTCTCCAGGGAGTTGTATTTCCAGGTCTCTCATGCCCCCGTTGTCCTCTGTCGGCCCAGCTGCCTGCCTGGACTACATTTGCCATAACATTATGGTCCCTCCCTGTTGCCATACCCTCGTGGCACATCGAGGACAGGGAATCACTGGGGTCATTAGAGATCTAGAACTACTTCACTCATAAGGAACTGCAACAGCTGGGGCAGACACAGAGGTTCGTGTAGACCCAAACAGAAATGTAATGGGTTTGTTTCAAGTTGACAAAGTGAAATGAAATGTTTAAATTCAGGAGCATTGATTGAAATGCTTCGACATTTCCAAATCAGAATGTTCATTTGGAACTTTTTGTTCGACAGAATGTTTTGCGATTTCAACTTTTTGTCCCAATTTGGAATAAAAGCAAATGGCAAAATATCAAAATTTCCTGAATTCCACCCTACTTAGCCAATCTCTTAGCTCATTGTCTGGGTCCCTCTCCTCCCCCACCCCTTTGCTTCACCAGTGACAAAGTGGGAATTTTTTGTAATATTTTTATGACTTCTGTTTGTGCCTCAGTTTCCCCTGTATGTTGCATTGTTTCCTGGTGGGTGGAAAGAGACTGTTTGCTCTTGGGCCAGGCTAAGACACAGGTGTGAATTGTGCCTAATTGTCTGGGGTTTAGGTTCCAGATCAATGGAGCTCTTGAGAATACAATGGCAGATCCAGTTGCCTGGTCATTGACATCTAGCAAGCAACGCCGCAGAGGGATATGAACTTCCCCACCTCTCAGCAGGGCGGCTGAATGGCATTTTCCCAGCTCAAAAACAAAGGACTGGGTGGAGTTCAAGTGTGGGCTGAGAGAGGCAATCAGGGGCACACTTGGGGCTCTGATCGAGGAGGTTGGAGAGATGGAGCTTGAACAATGGGTTTCTCTATGGCTTGGCTGGGCTTTGGGCTCACCAGAATGGACTGTGCTTTAACCTTCATTCCTCTAGGCTAACCTAGGGACTTCCTATGCTGTGTTCCAGATGACTAATAAACCCTACTCTTTTGACAATGCTGTGTGAGGGTCACGGCACATGCTTGGAGAGGCGCATTAGTCCCCAAAAAATGTACAAGTCTCCATGGGGGTATGTTTCAGTTGGACTTGCTGAACAGAGCTGTGGGTGTGAAGCAGGAGTGCTGCAGAAGGCGGTGAAGCCATGTAGCTTACCCTGGAGGATGTGTGAGATTGCTCGAGGGGCTGGCTTACTGAAAGAGTTCCTTCGAGAGACTGTCCCAAATCTGGGGCCTTAGCACTGATCCTGCGGATCCGTGACAGATAGCAACCCCATTCACCTGCTTGTCTGCATCTTCCACACATATGTTCTTCCATGCTGTCCCCTGTGCACAGAACACTCTACCACTCCATGGTCTTAGGGCATCCTTCTCCCCAGGGCTCAGCCTGATTGTTTGGGCTGTACACATGCAGGGACTTGCCCATAGGATTACATAAAGCACTTGAATCACACAAGGAGCTCCAGTTGCTCATAGAAATAGAGAGAACTCTCTCCCTGCCATTCAATGGACAACGTGTCCTTCCCACCATGCTGCTGACAATGTGTGTCAGTATTCCCTGGTGGCACAGTCACACAGGTCAGCTTTCTGTATTCATGAAAACTCTGCCTATGGACACAACTTTTCCAAATCTGGTCACAGGTGAGAGGAGAAGACAACCTGTCCAAAACAAATTAATTGACCTGTCAACTAGAGCTGGTCAAAAATATTTCATCAACCAATTTTTTCAAATATTTTTGTGAACAATTTTAATTTTGGTCAACATGTTCCTAAATTTTCAACAACCACAGCAACAACAAACCCCCAACATTTTCTGTTAAAAAGCAAAACACAATTTGGTTTTCATTAAAAATATTGGGTTTTGATAAACTTTTTGTTTTCAAAAACTAAATTTTACTAAAACCAGCTTTTGAAATCACACAACTTTTTATTTTTTTTTGGTTGAAAACCATCATAAAGTTTGGGGAAAAAAAGAATGTTTTAAAAATTTCCGCTAAAACAATGGAAGACCTTTGTTTTATTCCTGGAAGTATGTGATCAAGGTGGTTCTTGATCCGTATTATACAGAAACCTCATCGGTTTAAAAGCTATTTGCTTTGGCAGTGCAGAATTCTGAAGCAAAATGCTTGTGTGCTCATTGGCATGTCAGTATGCAAATGCTTGGGTAGATCAGAATGATTTCACAACAGCACATGGTTTAGCTCTGCAGCAAGCTGTAAGTTGTGCCTATTGCTTTCAGCTACAATAAGAATTTTTTTCTGCTTGTGTTTTGAAAGGCATGATTACAGAAAGCTTTCCTCATATTTAGCCTCCACACCTTTCCCTTATTAGCACATCATCTTTAAGGAGAAATGAAGAAAGATACTAACTCAAATAAACATGTTACATCAGAAAACCTACGAAGCTGAATATAATTGCGGTGCACAATTGTAATGCTGGCGACAGACCCCAGCTGAGTCATTTCCGTTCACTCTTAGGCTCATGAGAAGCTGATCTTTGACAGGGTTCCTGCTGACTTTCTCTTTGGCACCAACAGCATCTTGAAAGTGTTCTGATTTTCCCTTTGTAACTAGGCGACAATGACAAGATGCAGCCTATGGATTTTGCTCTCCTTACTGAAGATTAGTACTTTGCTCTTACTACATAGAAAATATCCAAATGTGAAACTGACAATACAATAGGCTGTGACCTAAATCCCTTCTACAAATGCCATTCTATGACACCAAAGTTAGCACTTCAGAAGAGAAGAATACAAGGCAGACTAGAATCGACTGCCCCTTTTTGAGCTGCATAGGAGATATGTAGCAAAGTCAGAGGAACTGTTCTCAAGAGCAAAGGATCAGAAGAGGAGCAGAATTCCTCTGATCCATTACAGAGGTGCATCTGACTGTTTAGGGCCATGCCAATACAAATCAGTGCAGAGGGGGAAGAGATAATGTGTACATCATAAAGAAGCGGGAGGAATTGGGGTCGTGGTCAGACAACTCATTGACATGAGGGTCAGCAATGTGAAGGGAAACAGGAAACCTGTGGAGGGCGCATGCCCCAACCTGCTGACTTTCACCTACTCAGGAGAAAAGGACTCTTCGTGTGATGCTCGAATTGTTAGGCCCCCGAGCTTCTCTCGAACATCCAGTCCCACCGACAACAGTGGGATGTGATCTGTGTGTATATGTAGGACTCAGGTTGTAGATGGCTATCAGCATTAGCAAATGTTTGCATGCAATGGAACTATAAGGGTTAGTGTAATCTGACCCCAACCTGTTTGTTTCCATTGGGCACCACAGTGATACAAATAACTCCATCTGGAAAGTATATATTCTTACATGGGGAGTATTCCTTATGTAGTATCTGCTTGCTGGACTTCTACACATATCCTTGCTAGAGTGGCTGGAAATCTGACCCCCCAGCCCCCCGCATGCAAAATATGTGCACAAGAACAATATATTTTTGAAATTTCCCTCTTGGGAAATTCTGTTTTTGTGGGTAAGGGTTCCCCCAACATTCACTTTCTTGCTGTTTTCCACTTTTTTCCAACTGGGAAACAGTAAGAAATTATGGGAGAGTTGCTGGGGGTGGGGGGGTGGGGGTGGGGGTGGATAACTTTTCATGTTTAAAAGTAACACTATTACAGTTACCACTTAGAAGTGAAAGTGTTACTTTCTTTTACTGCCAGAGAGAACATTTTGTTACTGTTTTCCAACTGACACAAGTTAGTTAAAGGTTAGAAAGTCCCGGTGGGAAGAGAGGGTAGTGGTGGAGGCAGGAATCCAGAATTTCAGAACAAAAAAATCGCTCTTTTTTTTCTTCTCAGGGATTTTTGTTTTAAAATAGTGCAAATAAAAAAAAAAAGTCTGTGATAATTTTTTCCACAATTTTTAATTTTTTTTTTATTGAAACCCCCCTGACAAAAATACCCAAACATACCCAAAAAAACACTTTGTGTGAGGAAATGTATTGACTATCTCAAGTTGCCACTTGCCGGTGACCTACGTCTGCAGAGGTTTCCTGGCTGTCTTTGGTTGCTGCCATGCGTCTGTTGATGGGAATGTACCACTCAGTGTGTTTTGAGCTTCCCCATAGATTTGCTTTTTTTTCCTGGAGTAAATTACTACAGATATTTCTACCTCTCTACTGTGAAGCACAGAGACGCCTATGACCCTGGCAACTCTTATTCATAACAGTTACTCTTTCTCACGTGACAAATCACATTGACTTCAATGGGACTACTCACATGAGTAAGTAGTGGGTAAAGTGTGTAGGATCCTCGTTCCTTACTTTCTAGGTACCACTGAAAGCCTCAGTGAGCCATGCATGTTTCATTTACACAAGACCATGACAAAGAGTTTTGATTGACATTGGTCCATGCTGGTTAAAGCAATAAATATGATCAATGTGTAATCATGAGCCATGTAATTTAACTCTTCTTTTTAAAAATCATCCCAGTGTTGATTGGCAGGTCTGATTGTCTTGTCCATTTTTTTTTAATTTGGTGGATGGATGGGGAGCAAATAACTAAACACACCTTTTTCTCTTGCAGTTATTGTTTTAATCTGCAGCTCTTCGGATGCCAGGTCTATTATGCTGGAGGCCAAACATCTAGGGCTGTTGAATGGGAAATTTGTGTTCTTCGTTTTGCAGCAGTTGGAGGTCAGTGGCAACCTGGCGAGTATTGCTCCAAGTTGGTTTATTAGCACTTGTTTTTGTCTATCTGGAACCTGTCACCAGCAGAGAATTGACACTAAACATGTTGTAGCAAGAAAACTTTATCAACCAACGTACGGTAACGATGGCCCTAACTCTGCACCACAGTTTGTGCTAGCAGATCACAGTTCAAGCCCAAGCTCAATAACTGCACTTTGAACTAAGAGCACCATCACTTTAAGCCACTTACTCTCCCCTCATCTTTCTCTTTCAGGACAATTTTTTGAAAGAGGCATTAAGCAGCGAGAAGAACAGCAGTGTGCTTGAAGCCTACCAGCCAGTGTTTCTGATTTCCCTCAGCCCTTATGGAGGATACACTATGTATTCAGATTTTCTGAAGCAGGTCCATGAAAAACTGAAGGGACAGCCATTTTACAGCTCACTTTCTTCAGAAGAAGAGGTTTGATATGGTCCTCTCTAATTGCTGCACGTGCGGCCACTGGGTTCTGGTCATACCAAGGGCCATCTCCCTCTTGTGCAACTTGTGTGTGTAGTTCTGTTGATTCCACCAGGAGTACTTACTTGAATGAGGTGGCCTGAGATCAGAAACATATGTGGGTCACCCATTTATTGATTTTCAGTGGGTGGTGATGATATTGCCAGTTAAGTAGAAGGGTGACTTGAACCATTTTTATAGAGGTTTTCTTTCACTCTCATGCCATCCTATCTGGACAGTGATCCTGGTTGCTTTTCTATACAGAGGATCAAATTCGTATGTATGTAGACACAGCTCCAATTGCAGTCAATGGAAAATTGCACCTGCTTACTCCAGGGCTGAATTTGGCTCAGAAATTCACTGTTGACTTTGTCCCAAGGTTTAGTATCAGTGCTATAACGTTTATATGGAAATTTTGTAAGCAAACCCTATAATCATTCTCTCGGGAGAAGGCCCTTCTGTCTAAGTCCTTTATCTCCGAAGCTGAAACATTGCTTTTCCATTTTGCACTTTTCAGGTGAGTTCTTACTCTGCCTACCTGCATGATGCAGTCCTGCTTTATGCCCTGTCCATCAGGGAAATGTTAAAAGAAGGGAAAGATATCAGAGATGGACGAGCACTTGTCAACACTTTGAAAGGCTACAACAAAACCCGTTTGTATGGTAAGCTGCTGATGTGGAGATTTTGTCAATCACATGTAACTGACTTAAACTAAGCCTCTCATGAGTTAGCACACTTCTTATTGTCTTAGAGAGAAGATATTCTTGATTTGCTCTGGGCAGTGTGCAAAGTAACATTTTAATTCAAATTAATCCTTTTAAAAAATTTTTTTTTTTAAATACTGATGAATTGTAGAAGTTTTTCAAAGGTATGTAAGGTTGGATTCTGCTCTCAGTTATTGGAGTGTAAATCCAGAAGAACTCAATCCAGAGAACTAGAAATATTATCCTACTTTATTTTTGCTAAAATAGTGGCTTGCTTGTAACCATTCATTTTTCTTTTCTTTTTATGCCTTAGCAAAACACCAGCTCTTAGCAACCCCCACGTCTGTCATTTAAAAACAAACAAACAAACAAAGAGTTTTAGTCCTGGCCAAGGTGTACTTCCCATGTTCCCCTTTTTGCAGAAATGGTAACAAAGCATTATTGTGTTGGGGTTTATATACCAAGAGAGTGAGGAAGGGGTGTAGGTGGGCACTACAAACCCAGAGCTGCTTTAGCTGGAACTGTTTCTTGTCTTTATAAACTGTTTGTTTCCAAAATTGCTTTGAAATTTTTAACTTTGAAAAATATTGACAAGCTCCATAGTTAGCAGGGTGTTGTTGTCTTCTATTGAAAATGGGTCCTTGAAGCTTACTTGGGCACTGGACAACTTCAGCTCCAGTTCACTCTTGTTGCAAATCAGGTTCCTGGTTCCCCTCCAGTTCCCTCTGAGCTGGGCAACTCTACCAGTCTCATTGCAGCCCCTGGCTTCTCTGGAAAGGCTTTCTCACAGAAGGACTTTCCAGAGACAAGTCCTGCCCTGCTCCTGAACTGACAACTCCTTCCCCCTTGGTTTAAAGGGTTCCAAAGTCCTCCTTCATGGGGCAGTACTGCAATTCCAGCAGGCTTCTCCAGCCCACCAGTCCCCAGGTTCTTGAACTCCTACACTTCTTCCCTTTGGTTCCAGGGCCCCACAGACCTCCTCCTTAGGGCTACGCTATGGTTCAGGCAAGCTCACTTGGAGGGTGCCTGGTTTGTGCTTCGCTGGATGTCAGCTCCAGCCTGTTAGCTACTAGTGCTAAAGAAGGAACATGGAATTAACCGTGAACCAGAAAAAGCCCAGCAGTGTTGAGTGAGTATGCTATGTACTCTTTTATCTTTCTAGGGGTTACTGGCCTGGTGTATATCGATGAATCAGGTGAGAGGTGGATGGATTACTCTGTATATGGTCTGCAGAAAGCTGGGAATTCATCCCAGTTTGTTCCTATTCTTAATTATGATGTCGAGAGAAAAACAATCAGGTACTGCGGGTCATATTTTTAAGTGAAACTACAATATTGAAAGTAGCTTATGGGTGATAAAAGTCACCCCAGTTCAGAGTGCAAGCACAAGTCCTTGAATATTGCTTAATATTGGGCTTATGTGTTACATAGGCCTTGTCAGATCCTCTGCACGGGGGGTGAAATTCACTGGTTGTGAACATGTCTGCCCAATGGCTGATGCTAACACAAGATTTTCTGAGAGTACTGCCTTACAGAGTTAATTCTTCTAGGACAGTGTTTCTCAAACTTTTGTATTGGTGACCCCTTTCACACAGCAAACCTATGAGTGCAACCCCCCCCCCTATAAATTAAAAACACTTTTTTTGTATTTAACACTATTACAAATGCTGGAGGCAAAGTGCGGTTTGGGGGTGGAAGCTAACAGCTCATGACCCCCTGTCATAAATATAAAGAGAAGGGTAAACCCCTTTGAAATCCCTCCTGGCCAGGGGAAAGCTCCTCTCACCTGTAAAGGGTTAAGAAGCTAAAGGTAACCTCGCTGGCACCTGACCAAAATGACCAATGAGGAGACAAGATACTTTCAAAAGCTGGGAGGAGGGAGAGAAACAAAGGGTCTCTGTCTGTCTATATGCTGTTTCTGCTGGGGATAGACCAGGAATGGAGTCTTAGAACTTTTAGTAAGTAATCTAGTTAGGTACGTGTTAGATTATGATTTCTTTAAATGGCTGAGAAAAGAATTGTGCTGAATAGAATAACTATTTCTGTCTGTGTATCTTTTTTGTAACTTAAGTTTTTGCCTAGAGGGATTCTCTATGTTTTGAATCTAATTACCCTGTAAGGTATCTACCATCCTGATTTTACAGAGGTGATTTCTTTACTTCTATTTACTTCTATTTCTATTAAAAGTCTTCTTGTAAGAAAACTGAATGCTTTTTCATTGTTCTCAGATCCAAGGGTTTGTGTCTGTGGTCACCTATGCAAATTGGTGAGGCTTTTTATCCAGCATTTCCCAGGAAAGGGGGGGTGCAAGTGTTGGGAGGATTGTTCATTGTTCTTAAGATCCAAGGGTCTGGGTCTGTAGTCACCTAGGCAAATTGGTGAGGCTTTTTACCAAACCTTGTCCAGGAAGTGGGGTGCAAGGTTTTGGGAAGTATTTTGGGGGGAAAGACATTTCCAAACAGCTCTTCCCCAGTAACCAGTATTTGTTTGGTGGTGGTAGCGGCCAATCCAAGGACAAAGGGTGGAATATTTTGTACCTTGGGGAAGTTTTGACCTAAGCTGGTAAAGATAAGCTTAGGAGGTTTTTCATGCAGGTCCCCACATCTGTACCCTAGCGTTCAGAGTGGGGAAGGAACCTTGACACCCCCCATGTAATAACCTTGTGATCCCCTGAAGGGTCACGACCCCCAGTTTGAGAATCCCTGTTCTTGGAACTGCTGCAGATATAACTTCGCAGAGCTTAGTTAGAGCAAATGAGATAGCCTTATATAAGTAGAATATGTTTTGTGTTTTAGTCTTATTGTATATGACCAGCATATGCTCTGATATTGAACTCATATGAAAGTGGCCTCTTTTCTGTAATACAGGTCACACACATAAGTTACATGCATCTTTGTTTCCACTTGCCTTTTCTATTAGGGCACACTTTGTCAACATGAAAATGTCTTACACAAGCAGACAGTATCACCTGAAAGTAATGGCTCTGCTGAAAGGCAATCAATTGCCAACCTTAACTGAATGTATCTGAGAGTCCGTTAGCAGGTTCAAGATTGGCACATGTTGATAATTAGCAAGTTTTTTTTCTTTTAAAAGGTATTGATTACAGGCAGGTGGATAATTTCCACTGAAACACTTTCCCATTGGAAAAAAGGGTTTCAATGAAAATTTTTAATTTTTACAAAATATTTTGGTTTTTTTTAAATTTTCATTTCACTGGTAGTTGCACCGCCCCACCCCGCCCCACGCACACACTTTCTGCCTTTTTTCCAACCTTTGGCAGCTGAATAAGAGCAACAAAGTATAAGGGGCACTGTTATGCGCTGAAAGTGTTTCTCTTTGAATGTGTTATTTTCAACACTTTGACAGTTTTCTAACAGACAAAGGTTGGGAAATGTTAAGGAAGTGTTGGAAAGTGGTGAAAAATCCTATTTTTAGCACCGTTTTGCTGTTTAAGACTGTACAAATGTGTTACACTGGTTTTAAATAGTAGAAAGGTCTCAAAAGTAGGCTTCTCCCCCAAGTTCTACCTTTTTGTCAATGGGCAAAAAAGGGGGAGGGGAAATCGCCCCAAATTTAGCAACCCTAAAATTTTTCAGCTTTAAAAAACTAAAATGAAATACGTTTGAATTTGAGATGAAGCAAAAAAAATTCACTGTGTTTCTAAATATTAATTTGAAAGAAACATACATCTAAGGGAGCAGGGAGAACTGGAAGTCCAGGCACAGTCAAGGAATTATGATGTGATTGGAATAACAGAGACTTGGCAGGATAACTCACATGACTGGAGTACTGTCATGGATGGATATAAACTGTTCAGGAAGGACAGGCAGGGCAGAAAAGGTGGGGGAGTTGCACTGTATATAAGGGAGCATTATGACTGCTCAGAGTTCCGGTATGAAACTGCAGAAAAACCTGAGAGTCTCTGGATCAAGTTTAGAAGCATGAGCAACAAGGGTGGTGTCGTGGTGGGAGCCTGCTATACACCATCGGATCAGGGGGATGAGGTGGACGAGGCTTTCTTCTGGCAACTAAGGGAAGTTACTAGATCGCAGGCCCTGGTTCTCATGGGAGACTTCAATCACCCTGATATCTGCTGGGAGAGCAATACAGCAGTGCACAGACAATCCAGGAACTTTTTGGAAAGTGTAGGTGACAATTTCCTGGTGCAAGTGCTGGAGGAACCAACTAGGGGCACAGCTCATCTTGACCTGCTGCTCACAAGCCGGGAAGAATTAGTAGGGGAAGCAAAAGTGGATGGGAACCTGGGAGGCAGTGACCATGAGATGGTCGAGTTCAGGATCCTGACACAGGGAAGAAAGGAGAGCAACAGAATACAGACCCTGGACTTCAGAAAAGCAGACTTTGACAACCTCAGGGATCTGATGGGCAGGATCCCCTGGGAGAATAACATGAGGGGGAAAGGAGTCCCGGAGAGCTGGCTGTATTTTAAAGAATCCTTATTGAGGTTACAGGGACAAACCATCCCGATGGGTAGAAAGAATAGTAAGTATGACAGGCGACCAGCTTGGCTTAACAGTGAAATCCTTGCTGATCTTAAACACAAAAAAGAAGCTTACAAGAAGTGGAAGATTGGACAAATGACCAGGGAGGAGTATAAAAATATTGCTCGGGCATGCAGGAGTGAAATCAGGAAGGCCAAATCACACCTGGAGTTGCAGCTAGCAAGAGATGTTAAGAGTAACAAGAAGGGTTTCTTCAGGTATGTTAGCAACAAGAAGAAAGTCACGGAAAGTGTGGGCCCCTTACTGAATGAGGGAGGCAACCTAGTGACAGAGGATGTGGAAAAAACTAATGTACTAATTTTGCCTCTGTCTTCATGAACAAGGTCAGCTCCCAGACTGCTGCACTGGGCAGCACAGCATGGGGAGGAGGTGGCCAGCCCTCTGTGAAGAAAGAAGTGATTTGGGACTATTTAGAAAAGCGGGACGAGCACAAGTCTATGGGGCCAGATGTGCTGTTTCCAAGAGTGCTAAAGGAGTTGGCGGATGTGATTGCAGAGCCATTGGCCATTATCTTTGAAAACTCATGGCGATCGGGGGAGGTCTCGGACGACTGGAAAAAGGCTAATGTAGTGCCCATCTTTAAAAAAGGGAAGAAGGAGGATCCTGGGAAGTACAGACCAGTCAGCCTTACCTCAGTCCCTGGAAAAATCATGGAGCAGGTCCTCAAGGAATCAATTCTGAAGCACTTAGAGGAGAGGAAAGTGATCAGGAACAGTCAGCATGGATTCACCAAGGGCAAGTCATGCCTGACTAATCTAATTGCCTTCTATGATGAGATAACTGGCTCTGTGGATGAGGGGAAAGCAGTGGACGTGTTGTTCCTTGACTTTATCAAAGCTTTTGACATGGTCTCCCACAGTATTCTTGCCAGTAAGTTAAAGAAGTATGGACTGGATGAATAGACTGAATGGTGATAGAAATAGGTGAATAGAAAGCTGGCTAGATGTCGGGCTCAACGGGTAGTGATCAATGGCTCCATGTCTAATTGGCAGCCGGTATCAAGTGGAGTGCCCCAAGGGTCGGTCCTCGGGCTGGTTTTGTTCAGTATCTTCATAAATGATTTGGAGGATGGTGTGGATTGCACCCTCAGCAAGTTTGCAGATGACAGTAAACTGGAAGGAGAGGTAGATACGATGGAGGGTAGGGATAGGATACAGAGGGCCCTAGACAAATTAGAGGATTGGGCCAAAAGAAGTCTGATGAGGTTCAACAAGGACAAGTGCAGAGTCCTCCACTTAGGATGGAAGAATCCCATGCACCGCTACGGACTAGGGACCGAATGGCTCGGCAGCAGTTCTGCAGAAAAGGACCTAGGGGTTACAGTGGATGAGAAGCTGGATATGAATCAACAGTGTGCCGTTGTTGCCAAGAAGGCCAATGGCATTTTGGGCTGTATAAGTCGGGGCGTTGCCAACGTGATCGTTCCCCTCTATTCGACATTGGTGAGGCCTCATCTGGAGTACTGTGTCCAGTTTTGGGCCCCATACTACAAGAAGGATGTGGAAAAATTGGAAAACGTCCAGCAGAGGGCAACAAAAATGATTAGGGGACTGGAACACGTGACTTATGAGGAGAGGCTGAGGGAACTGGGATTGTTTTGTCTGCGGAAGAGAAGAATGAGGGGGGATTTGATAGCTGCTTTCAACTACCTGAAAGAGGATTCCAAAGGGGATGGATCTAGACTGTTCTCAGTGGTAGCAGATGACAGAACGAGGAGTAATGGTCTCAAGTTGCAGTGGGGGAGGTTTAGGTTGGATATTAGGAAAAACTTTTTCACTAGGAGGGTGGTGAAACACTGGAATGCGTTACCTAGGGAGGTGGTGGAATCTCCTTCCTTAGAAGTTTTTAAAGTCAGGCTTGACAAAGCCCTGTCTGGGATGATTTAGTTGGGGATTGGTCCTGCTTTGAGCAGGGGGTTGGATTAGATGGCCTCCTGAGGTCTCTTCCAACCCTGATATTCTATGATTCTAAGGGAAAAGGAGTTCAGGAGAGTTGGCAGTTTCTCAAAGAAACAACATTAAAAAGGCAAGTGCAAACTATCTTGATAGGAAGGCGAGATGGGAAGAACCTTAAGAGGCCAATATGGCTCCATCAGGAGCTCTTTAAGGACCTGAAAATCAAAAAGGAATAATACAATAAGTGGAAACATTGCTAAGGATGAGTACAAAAGAATAGCACCAATATATAGGGACAAAATCAGAAAGGCTAAATGAGCCTAGCAAGGGACATAAAAGTCAGTGAGAAGAGGTTCTATAAATATATAAGAGCAAGAGAAAGATGATGGAAAATGTAGGTTCTCTATTTAGTGGGGAAGGAGCTAATAACGGACAACATCAAGAAGGCTAAGCGTTTAATGCCTATTTTGCTTCAGTCGTCATTAAAAAGGTAAATTGTGACCAGATACTTAACACAATTAATATTAACAAGAAGGAAGGAGCGCAAATCAACATAGGAAAAGAACAGATTTAGATAAGTTTAGATGTATTCAAGTCAGCAAGGCCTGATGAAATTCATCCTAGGGTACTTAAGAAACTAGCTGACTCAATCTCAAAACCCTTAGTGATTATCCTTCAGAACTCAAGGAGGACGGGTGAAGTCCCTGAGCCCTGGAGAAGACCAAACATAGTACCTATCTTTAAAAAGGGGGACAAAGAGGTCCCAGGGAATTATAGACCAGTCAGCTGAACTTCGATTCCTGAAAACATACTGGAATAAACTGTCAAACAATCAATTTGTAAGCACTTAGAGGATAAATAAGATTGTAAGTAATAGCCAACATGGATTCGTCATGAAGAAATCATGCCATACCAATCGAATTTCTTCTTTGGTGCAGTTACTGGCCTAGTGGCTGGGGGGGGGGGGGGGGGGGGAATCTGTAAACATGATATACCTTGATTTTAGTAAGCATTTTGACACAGTCCCACATTACATTTTTATAAACTAGGGAAAAATGATCTGGATACATTATTATAAGGTTGGTGCAAAACTAGTTGAAAGACTGTACTCAGTGAGTAATTATCAGTAATTTGCTGGCAAACTTGGAGGACATGTATAGTGGGGTCCGGCATGGGTTTGCTCTGGGTCCAGTGCTATTCAATATTTTGATTAATGACTTGGATAATGGTGTGGAAAGTACACTTATAAAATTTGTGGGTGACACCAAGCTGGAAGGGGTTGCTACTGCTTTGGACGACAGGATTAAAATTCAAAATGACCTTGACAAATTGGAGAATTGGTCTGAAATCAGCAAGGTGAAATTCAATAAAGACAAGTGCAAAGTACTTCACTCAGGAAGAAAAAAAATCAGACATGGTAACTACAAAATGGAAAATAACTAGTGAAGTGGTAGTCCTGTTGACATGAGTCTGGGGATTAGAGTGAATCACAAGTTGAATGAGAGTCAACAATGTGATGCGGTTGTGGAAAAGGCTATTATGTTCAGGGGTGTATTAACAGTAGTGTTGAATGTAAGACACAGGAGGTAATTGTCCTGCTCTACTTGACACTGGTGAGGCCTCAGCCGGAGCGCTGTGTTGAGATCTGGGTGCCGCACTTTATGAAGGTTGTGGACAAATTGGAGAGAGTCAGAGAATCATAGAATATCAGAGTTGGAAGGGACCTCAGGAGGTCATTTTGTCCAACCCCCTGCTCAAAGCAGGACCAGTCCCCAATGTTTGCCCCAGATCCCTAAATGGCCCCCTCAAGAATTGAACTCACAACCCTGGGTTTAGCAGGCCAATGCTCAAACCACTGAGCTATCCCTCCCCTCCAAAAAAACAACTGTCATACAGAATGGCCCCCTCAAGGATTGAACTCAAAACCCTGGGTTTAGCAGGCCAATGCTCAACCCACTAAGCTATCCCTCCCTCTCATAGAAGAGCAACAAAAGTGATAAAAAGGTTTAGAAAACCTGACCTATAAGGAAAGGTAAAAAATGAGGGCATGTTTTGTCTTGAGAAAAGAAGACTAAAAGAGAACGGTGATCAGTTGTTCTCCATGTCCACTGAAGGTAGGACAAGAAGTAAAGGGCTTATTCTACAGCAAGGGAGCTTTAGGTTAGATATTAGGAAAAACTTTCTTACGACTATATATGGATATTTAAGCTCTGGAATAGGCTTCCAAGGGAGGTTGTGGAATCCCTGTCATTGGAGGTTTCTAGACAAACATCTGTTAAGGATGGTCTAGGTAAACTTCACCCTGCCTCACCGCAGGGAGCTGGACTAGAGGACCTCTTGAGGTCCCTTCGAGCCCTACGTTTCTATAATTCTATAACAAAAACTGTGTTTCATTCCATTTAAAAAAACCCTGCAGAAAATCAGAAATTTTTGATCAAAACATTTCAAAAGGATTTTTTTTTTTCCTGGTAGAAATTTATGGTGGGGTGGGGATTACATTTTCCGATCAGCTCTAGTATTTATGAGCTTTTAGAAATGATGCCAGTTTTGTGTTCCCCACTGGAAAATAACTTTAGGAAAGGAGGACAGGCAGTAGAAATAGGCACTTACATTTATCTATCTCCATCTATAGCCCAACCATGGAAATTGCCTACATCAGCTGGCTGGCTGGCTTTCCTCCCAAAGACAGACCGTACTGTGGGTTTTATAATGAACAGTGTGAAACTTCAGTTATAAGTGAGTATGGTCATACTTCATGAGATCAGCGCTCTTGGGCACATGGGAAGGGGAAAGAGACAAAGGAAATACTTTGCTGCTATTTACCATCTTTCATTCAAAGATCAAAGAAGCTTTTTGCAAACATTGATTAATGAAATTTCATGATACCTCAGAAAAGGAGAAACGTTGTGAGTGTGTCTGCAGTATACCATCCTCATTTTATAGGGAAATTGAGGCAAAGAGAGCCTAAGACTTAAGGCCAAGATTTTCAAAAATGGATACTTAAATTTACATACCTAAATCCATATTTATGCGCTTAAATAAGTAGAGCTACTGTGTGCTCAGGACTTCTGGCAATCAGGCTATTATTTAGGTGTCAGTACTACATCCATATTTAAGCATTCTTTGAACATTTAGGCTAATATTTTCAAAGGTGTCTGCTAATCATTGGTGGGTTCACAACTAGTGACACTTAGGGCTGATTGTCACAGGTGGTGCGCACCGACATCTCCAGTTGAATACAGTATGAGCAGTGAGTAATCCGCATCTCTGAAAGTCAGAAGGAGGGTGGCTATGTAGGAAATGTTAGGAGGGCATTATTCCACTGGATTCTCCACTAGGAGCCAATTAAACTGGTGTTCCAGCTGTTTTATGCTGCCTGAGTGGTGCAAAGCCCCTGGATTGGAGCCAAGGATCAACCAAGCATATGATATCAATATGAAGCAAGGTAACCACTCACTCCTGAAAAAAAATCACCAGTTTGGTTGTGCCATCAAGATTTTTCTCCACCTCCATATAGCTGGGGATGATCTGTATCATGTCTTTAACAGGTACACCAGTGACCGTTCTGATTGTCGTCCTGTTGTTAACAGCCTCAGGAGCTGCCAGCATAATGGTGTTTTTAAAGATCCAGGAAAGGAAGCTGCAAAAGCAAATGGATGACATCTGGTGGAAAATAAACTACAATGATATTAGTATGCTTCAAGATCATAAGGTAAAGCAAGACCTTGAAATACCAGGGATCACACTAGTTATAAATTATACTCTAAGCGAGAAGGAATCCATAAGTTTGTGATCATGTTAACAATTAACCATGCTTTTATCATGAAGTTGTAGAAATTTACTTACAGCAAAGTACATAAGCATGTCCTTACTTTAAGCTCTTAAGCAGTCTTATTTAAATCAATAGGCCTTGTGTCTGAAGTTAGGCATTCACCTGAGTAATTTGCAGTATCAGGGCCTAAGGAGTTAATGGGTCAAACCATGCCTGTGGTCACAATGATGGGATCTGGAGTGATTCCTTTGTAGTAGTAGATGCTCAGCACAGGACTGGGTCCTTATACTGCGTTGATCTGACTAGTCGTTGATCCTTGCCTGGCAGTGTTAGGTCAGGAACACTTTTTCCCAATGATTTCTAAAACATTTTCTCAGCATGTTACTCGCTAATGGGTGAAATTCACGGCTATCCAGAGGAGCAGCACAAGGCATATTCAGCACCAACAGTTCTACTTACACCTTAGTTGAGAATAGTTTGGAGAGGGCTCATATTAGTCCTATGTCAACCCTGAGGGTGGACATAACCCGCAGGCTTTAAATATAGAGCTTTCTGAACACCGATTTTTTCAGTTCAGTGGCTGAACCGAAAAATTTAAAAAATTCATTTCAGGTTAATCGAAAATGATTGTTTTCAATTTTTTTCAGAGAACTGAAAAATTAAAAAAAAAATCGTTTTTAAAAATGTTTTCATGGTTTTATTAAAAGTAAAATTGAGGGAAATACCAAAATGAAACATTTTCCAAAACGAAAAGTCAAAAGGTTTCGTTTCAGAAATTCCCAAACTGAACCTGTTTTGACATTTCAGAATTTTTTTTCGACTGGAACAATTAGCCAAAATTGATCTGAATTTGTGAATTGTGTTGATCAACCCAAGTCTGCATTTTTTTGTGTGAAAAAACCACATGCTTTCTCATGAAATTTTTGTGCCCATTTCTATTTATGTGGGTCCTATACTTTGTGCTGGTCCTCTGTATAGGAGTGAAGCCCAAGCATATGTGATTTCCTTCTACATCAGGTTTGGATGCCAACTTGCTTTTCATTACCTGTGTTTTGTCTTTATCGTTTATGGTAGGCACTGTAGGAAAACCCATTACTGGGGTTCTTCCTCATCAGTTTGTCTTTGTCAATATCGGCAAGTCTTAGGTTTGTCAAAATTTACCTAGGTTATTTATGAATTTTTAACAGTATCACGTCTCTTGTGTTTTCTCCTAAAGGATCATTTTGAGCTATCAGAAACAAGCACACCAGTGTCTCAAGGACAAGAAAGTGTTGTGTCCAGTTTGATATTTTCAAGCAATTGGCGGTCTGGGCTGAAGGACAAGCAGGAGAAAGACGTATTTTATACCACAATAGGTCTTTACCAGGTACGACTACAAAGGGAGATTAGGTGAGCTTCAGTGGGTGTACTTTCTGCTCTGTTATGTTAACTGTGTCCTTTTCGGTTTCCTTTGTGCGGCTTTGGGTGCTCTCTACAGGTATATAGGGCACAAGTTGGCAAAAGAATAAAAGCCACAGTAGTTCTCAGGATTCACAGGTAGGACTGTGAAACTGATGGTGCTAATTTACTAAGGTTGCTGATAAATGTCCAACTTTGCTTTGCCAAAAATGGCAGATTGCAGAAATGTCCTATATGAAATTCTGACAGAGATAGAGTCAGAGTTTTTGGGTAGTATAATTGGCCTTCCAAAAAGCATGACGTATCTTATCAGTCTTAACTTACTGGCTATATAATATAGTATTTTTCCTATGACAGCATTGCGGTTCTTGGTAATTCCTACACTAGTACATTATTTCATCTGCAGAAAATTGTTCTGAAAGTATATGCTATATCGATTAACATAATTGCGCAGCACGTTATATAAGAGAACCTAAATTAAAATCACTTCTGGACTGTATCGTCTGTGACAACCATTGTTAATTTGACTGTTAGCACAGGGTCTTCACTTGACTACCATGCTTTGTTACAGTCAGCTGGCTTCCCAATATAAATTTGGCATCTTTCCCTTCAGAACCCTTAAAATTTGATTTAACAGGCAATTTCAACTTTGTCTGTCACTGGGCAAGTTAGTAATCCAGTACCTTGTACAGTGAAGCTCATATTGGTCATCTCTTATGGCTGCGTGTCTGAACAGGGAAGGATACTTTTAACCATTTTAACATATGGGAGTTCTAAACTTCTAAGCACATGCTATGTTTTCTCAAAGGTCCCTTCATAACCTTTTTGTGCAGATCTCTTCCAAACAGTTTCTGTGTTAAAGTACTGTATGTTGGATTCCACCTTTCTGAATATTCGTTTCAGGGAACTCTTGTTGCACTCAGGTATATAGATAACCAAATAGATGCCTGGATTCGGAAACAGTCAGTCCTTCATGAAGTTCAGATGGTAAGGTTCAACCTCAACATGATCCTCCTACGCCCGACTGAAATGAAATGCAAATTATGTTACAAACATACTGTAGGTACTGCTGAATCGGGCAACTGGTCCACTATCTTTAGCAAGTTGAAATTCACATCCAGAGCCTGCAGTATTTTGTTGGTATTGAATCTGGGAGAAGATTGGATTCTACTTAGGCTTCATCAGTGTCATGCATTTTGGTTTTGCACACCTTTACATTAAAAAGATATTGACAAGCTGGAGAAGAGCAATAACAAATAGGACTTAGCTGACTGACAGGAGGGACTGACTTTTTAGGAGAGATCCTGGGCCAGATTGTGATACCTTTTCTCATGTTGAGTGTTAATCTTGCTCCAGAAGTAATCCTATTGATTTCAACGGGTCTAATCATGGTTCAAGGTTCTATTCAATGTGAGTAAGAGTGTCAGAATCTGGCCGCAAAGAACTAAATATTTATCCTGTGAAGATAAATCAGGGAAATAACTGCCTTCTCCATCTTAAAGGTATAAACATTAAGAAGGGAGAGGAATTGTCTAGGGTGGTCCAATGGAGTATTTTCAGGGGCTGTGAAGAAGATATTAAGCTGAAATAATGGGCATTTTCCTAATAGTGGTGATCTATCAGGCTAGAATAGACTCCTGGGGGCTGGAATAGACTCCCGGAAATGGTGGAAGCTCAAATGCTTGAATCATCTGAAGCAAGACTAGTCTCAGGAATAGAAAATATATTGCAGAGACATTCCTGAACTAGCCAGGCTTGGACAAGGATGAGCTAATGACCTTTTCATTTCTAACTTGTAGGATTCTTGTAATAAACAATGGCTAAGGAACAGCTTGGGGGTGGGGCTGTAATGTAAACAAATGTGTTTAACAAGGCCTCTTTGCTTTCAGATGCGCGAGTTGAGGCATGAGAATCTGGTGGCCATCTTTGGTATATGCACTGAAATTCCAAATATCTGTATTATTACAGAGTACTGCAAGAAAGGAAGCCTGAAGGTGAGAATACCAGCATCATTTACATCAATAGCCTTCGGGTTGACTTGTAAGAGAGCTTGCAAAGGAGCTGTTCTGAGCTCTTGCCAGGTCAGCAAGGACTGATTTTTCCTCCTTTTTGTTTGTTAGCTCTTTTTGCTGCCTACTCTTGCTCTGTTGATATCAGGACTTTCCTGGAATCTAATAGCTACGACTTCAAGTGCATGTGTCCCTTCCTACTCCTATGAGTCTTCATTGCTTTAGTGCTCAGTTCTTTCTTATGTGCAACCATTTTGTGAATACCAGGTATGAGAAGCAGAGTAGCACCCTGGAGAAAATAAAAAACCCAGAGACATTACGCCACAGAGGCAGTGAGTATTAGGACATCTTATTTACCAAAAAACATCTTATTTACTCAGCTTATTGTGTAATAAAGCTTTACAGAATTTGTATGTAAATATTGAATCAAGTTTGTAATTACCACTTGCCCAATAGTGATATGTACAGACTCAGCAACTGCTGATTTGGAGATCCGTACACATGTATTAGGAAATAAGTTTTCGTTTCCAATAAACGTTCACAGAGCAAATAGACTGAGTTCAGTTCCATGTGCTCACTGCATCTCCATCTGATGAGATTCAGTCCAATGTCATTTTGAACGTTTTTGTTTTTCAGGACATTTTAAGGAACTCTGATATTGAATTGGATTGGATATTCAAATGCTCTTTTGCCTATGATATAGTCAATGTGAGTATGACATTGAGTTGTTTTCTAATAGAAAACCTTATTTAAAAAGTTATGGAGCCTAGAAATGCTTATTGCTCTGGACTTTGAACATGTCAGAGACAAAAATGAGAATAATCACTATCCCGTTGGAGCCAGATGGAAGTGCTCGGTTTGCATTTGATAGAGGGTTGAGGAAGTTGTAATTGCAAATTACCCTTATTTTATTTCAGAGTAACAGCCGTGTTAGTCTGTATTCGCAAAAAGAAAAGGAGTACTTGTGGCACCTTAGAGACTAACCAATTTATTTGAGCATGAGCTTTCGTGAGCTACAGCTCACTTCATCGGATGCATACCGTGGGCACGGTATGCATCCGATGAAGTGAGCTGTAGCTCACGAAAGCTCATGCTCAAATAAATTGGTTAGTCTCTAAGGTGCCACAAGTACTCCTTTCCTTATTTTATTGCGTGTATTTATTTTATTAATTTGGGAGTTCTGTTGCAGTGACCTATGCTTACACCATTAAACAAACCCCAAATTAAACATTTATTACACATAGGGGGAAAAAAAGAGGGGGGGGGAGACAGTTAAAAATAAAACATAAAAAGTTTTAAAGTTTTGAGAAAATTGTTTGACGTTGTAAGCTCTTCAGGACTGGACCAGCCATTCAAAAAGAACTAGATAAGTTCATGGAGGATAGGTACATCAATGGTTACTAGCCAGGATGGACAGGGATGGTGTCCCTAGCCTCTCTTTGCCAGAAGCTGGGAATGGGTGATGGAATGGATCACTTGATAATTACCTGTTCTGTTCATTCCCTCTGGGACACCTGGCACTGGCCGCTGTCAGAAGACAGGATACCGGGCTAGATGGACCTTTGGTCTGACCCAATATGGCCGGTCTTATGTATTCACTATGTACAACACTGAGCACAAAGGAAGCCTAATCTGGTTGAGGCTTCTAGACAGTACTGCAATATGAACAATAGTAATAAATAATACACAAAACCATTATTTTAACATGTTTCTCTTCTCATTTGTACAGAATTGTTTTCCAAAAGTAAAAATTCTTGCTTGAAAATTTATAGATGCTACTAAATGAGGGGCGGGGTGGGAGGGAATTCAATGTTGAGTTGCAGCTCTTACCATTCTGATTTTGTTGTTAAAGTCTGATTCTGGTTTGTGTGTGTTTATTAAGACACAAGATGGGAGTGAGGAGAAAGGGGGAAAGATTATCAAATGATACAGAAGGTTGCTTCTTTTTCGGATGCTTGTTGGTCATTTACTTGAAGACCTGTAGTGCGTGGCCCATGACTCACGTAGCCATTTTGTAAGCTGGCTTTATTCACCTGGCCCTGGCAAATATTTAGCTACATTCCTTTGTCTGGTTTGTGGAAGTGAGGGGACTGTCCCCTTGCTGGGGTGCTCATGATCCCAAGGCGGGCAGGAAGGAGTATGGCTATGCTGCCACATCCAAAGGAATAGGCCACACCATTCTAGTCATGAATTTTCTTCTTCAATAAGGAATGAATGAAAAGTGCTAAATAAAATGATTTGTTTGTGTGACAGCAGTGTAAAAAGGCCTCTCTGTATTGGGGCTCCATTGTATTAGGTACTATACAAACACACAGTAGGAATAAGTGCCTTCCCTGAAGAATTTGTAATCTAAAGTTTTGGTCCAATGATTAGGGCATAAGTCTGGGAGGTAGGAGAGACAGGTTCATTTCCTATCTCTGTCACAGACTCTCCTATATGATCTTGGGCAAGACACCTAGACCTAGATTTTTAAAGGTGTTGTGGTGCTCAATGTCACAATATCTAACTGATTAGGAATCTGTCTTGTTTTCAAAAGTGATTTAGGCACTTAAGAGTCCTACAATGGTATTTAGGCTCTAAGCACCTAACCCCCTTTGAAAACAAGACAGGTTCCTAAACCAGCTGGGCATTGCAATGCTGAGTGCCACAGGCCCAGATTTTTACAGGTATTTAGGCATTAAGTCTCTGTTTCTCAGTGCCCCATCCATATAGGGATAATAGTACTTCCTTACCTCACAAGGGTGTTAGGATAAATACGATAAAGAATGTGAGGTGCTCACATACTGTTGTGATGGGGAGTGTCACATTTCAGAGCAACCGCACCTGTATTTCTCTTCAGTGGTCCAGCAAGGGCACCCACTGTCAGGTTTCCAGCTCCCATGCCCATGACCTCTCTTGGTCGGAGAGAGGAGTCTCACTCTTGCCTGACTGGGGTATTTCCAGCCTGCACAGTCCCATGACTATACAGTATTATTCCCAGCAGAGACAGACTGCCCAAGCAGGCCTGCTTGCTTTGTCTTCAGAGACGGTTAGCAGTATGAATGCCTACAGTTATATGTTACTACACAGCTCTTTCTAAGTAAGCCTGTTTGAGCCTCAAGGCAAAAAGTATTACAGAGAAAACATATTAAAATCAATACGAGACCCTACACACATGCTAACCAGCTTACCAGAGATCACCCCAGCCCTAACATGGGCTCTGGTAAGGACAGTCCTTCACTACTCCGTCCAAGCAGGGGGGCTGGAACAATTTTGATAGTGGGGGTGCTGAGAGCCATTGAACCAAATTATGGTATATGATGGAAACCACTTCCAGCCAGGGGGTGCGACAGCGCCCCTCGTTCCAGCACCTCTGTGCCCAAGGGGTTTCCTTGTGGTACCAAGCTCATCACAGCTTCAGCTCAGAACAAGCATGCATTCTTTTGGGGCTGAGCCCTTAGCAAGCCAAGTTCCTCCAATCCTTCCCTAAGAATTGGGGCTCTTCTTAGAGCAGGGGTCCTGTCTATTTGCTGGATCAGAAATGGTGTCCTGAGCCTGTCTGAAAACAGGCTACTTAACCAAAAATCTTTTCTTTGTCTGTTGGCCCCTGGAGGATCCAGTTTGAACTAATATAGGTGGACCCCACCAGATGGTTTCAATAACCAGAGGAACTACATTATCATCCCCTAGAGGAGTTACAAACAATTCCACAGTAACACCGTTGCATTTTTAATACAATGGGCCCCAAAAGTATCAAACAAAACTCCATAAGGTTTAACTTAATTCAGGAAAGTTTATCTTCATTCCATCAGGTTTGTCCAGGGTATTGCATGATATTGTCAGTCTGTCACAGGGACCATATTAAGTACCCAAGCTCTCTAGGTAGACAGGTCAGAGATTCCATGTGGGCAAATGGATTTGTCCATATGGAAATAATATCCAGGATCGGGGCCTAACGTAAGACCAGATGCCCTAGGTGAATGGAGGGAATGAGGACAATAGCAGCAGTGATAGGAGAAAGTGTCTCTCCAGACGAAGTATGGGCATAACTAGTAGGTTTCTGGATGGGTTTGACCAAAGCAGACCATTGCTACAGATAGCTTGGACAATGTAATGGAAAAAAGACTTGCATAGATACAATGAGATTTAGGGATGGTGTTTCTGATCAGAACCAGCTGAGCCAAGAGCTGGTTACACTTGCTGTTTGTTGCATTGACAGCCAAAACTAGATCCCGCCATTCCATTGGTGGTATTTTATTCTGCCTGGTGCTTCTGTAGCCACCATTCTATAGTCACCCTCTTCCTGTTTTTGTAGGGGATGTTGTTTCTTCACAGAAGCCCATTGAACTCCCATGGAAATCTGAAACCTACTAACTGTTTGGTGGATAGTCGCATGCAAGTGAAACTGTGTGGATTTGGGCTATGGGAGTTTAAGTATGGAACGAAATACAGAGTAATTACTGAGAAAAATACCAACTATGCAGGTAAGAGGATTATACAAGAATTACAAGCACGAGAGATGCAACAAAACAACGATTCGTGGATTCCTCTAGCGGATGCTTTTCTTCATAATGGTCTTCACACGGATTTTATCTACAACACCTCTTTGAATATTGGTGATTGGAACACAGCTTTTGGAAATTACAGAGGGTTTTTTTTATTCCAGTAATGCTGCATATGGATGAGGAAATAGCAGCAAATAATGCATATAATCAGTTTTTGTCTCTATTTTGCTCAATAATTGTCTCTGAGCAGCTTATGATTTTCTCCAATTTATTTGTTGTTTGAAAATGTTTGTTGAATAATTTTGGTGAATAATTCTTGGTCTGTAGCTGGGGATGAATTAAGGCATAAATGCTACATACATTTGTCAATGTTGATAAACGCAAAGTAATGGACACTGGAAAACATAATCCCAACTATACATATAAAAAGATGGGGTCTAAATTATCTGTTACCATTCAAGAAAGAGATTTTGGAGTCATTGTGCATAGTTCTCTGAAAACATCCACTCAATATGCAGTGGCAGTCAAAAAAGCTAACAGAATGTTGGGAACCATTAAGAAAGGGATAGATAAGACAGAAAATATCATATTGCCTCTATATAAAACCATGGTATGCCCACATCTTGAATACTGCGTGCAGATGTGGTCACCCCATCTAAAAAAAAAAAAAAAAAGATATATTGGAATTGGAAAAGGTTCAGAAAAGGGCAACAAAAATTATTAGGGGTATGGAACGGCTTCTGTATGAGGAGAGATTAATTAGATTGGGACTCTTCAGCTTGGAAAAAAAGACAACTAAGGTGGGATATGATTGAGGTCTATAAAATCATAACTGGTGTGGAGAAAGTAAATAAGGAAGTGTTGTTTTACACCTCATAACATGAAAACTAGGGATAATTAATAGGCAGCAGGTTTAAAACAAACAAAAGGAAGTATTTCTTCACACAACGCATGGTCAACCTATGGAACTCCTTGCCAGAGGATGTTGTGAAGCCCAAGACTATAACAGGGTTCGCAAAAGAACCAGACAAATTCATGGAGGATAGGTCCATCAATGGCTATTAGACAGGATGGATGGGCATGGTATCCCTAGCCTCTGTTTGCCAGAAGCTGGGAATGGGTGACAGGGGATGGATCACTTGATGAGGCCCTGTTCTATTCATTCCCTCTGGGCACCTGGCATTGGCCACTGACAGAAGACAGGATACTGGGCAGGATACAGATCTTTGGTCTGACACGGTATGGCCGTTCTTATGTTCTTCTAGACCTGTGCCTAGAGCCCCAGCTTCTGGAATCATTTGATTACAGGAACATCGCTGCCTTTATTTATAAAAAAAGAAAAAAAAACCCAATTCTAGCCTTTATAGTTGCAAAGAAAAGCTTGAAAATGTGACTCAAATGCAACTGATGTAGTGAAGTCTGCCAGAGTCTCCAGGTGGCTGAAACAATCGCTCTGAGATGTGTTAACAGCCCCATGCATCCGAATAGGGTGCTTATTCCAAGGGCCACAGCTGTGAGGAGTCATGCCAATACCACCCTCTAATATCTTTCGAGGCACAGTTTTATTTCACAGATGTAGGCTAACAAATCCCAAAACAGTTCTTCAGCCCACTCTGGGCTACAGCTCCCAGGGGATTTCCACCTTTGCCTTACTCAGACTGCGGGGCTCCAGGGCCTGTGGCAAGATCCTTCTGTGCTCTTTTAACAGAGCTCCACCTCCCCACGCTTTCTCCCTGGAGCCCCCCACTTCCCAGCGTGTTCCCACTGCCTTGCCTCCTGGGGGGCTCTGGCAGCCTTTCCCAGGGAACTTCCTGCTGCTCCTGCCCCCCCTGCTTCCAGACAGCCTGGCTCTTTATGGCTGCAGGTGCTGCTCTCCCCTCCTTGGCTGAACTGGGAGACCCTGTTCTAGCACAAGGGAGCTAGGTCTGCTTCATTTATGCACACTGTGACCCTGACAGACGACTCCACATGTGGGCCTACCCCTCCAGCTGCTGGGAGGCCACTCTGCTTTTTATCTCTATTCTCCCAAAGGGGATCTTACTGCCACTTCTGGGGTGGGGAGGAAGGAGTGCCCTTGCTGCTGGCTACCAAGCAGTGGTGTTGTGTGGATGAATGAGTGCCTGTAAGCAGCAGAGAAATCCTCAGTTGGATGGCACTATAAAAGCACAAACCATCCCATAGCGTGATTAGGATTTTAAAAGGCTGTCTAGCCTCTTCTTTGCCAATGATGAGTTTGACCCAGCTGGAGCACAGACTTCTTTGCTGTTTCCTATTTTGCCTTGTAGATCTCTATTGGACAGCCCCAGAACTGCTCAGGATGGGGGAATTTCCATTCCATGGGACTCAAAAGGGGGATGTCTACAGTTTTGCTATAATAATGAGGGAGCTGATTTATAACAATGAGGATGGTCCGTTCCAAGACCTGAACAAGGAAGCAGAAGGTAGAATTTGTTCCTCACATTTCCAGATGATCTTCCCTCTGTGAGCACCTTTTTGTATCCTGGAGTTACCCTAAATGTAGCATGTCTTCACTGCAAATAAAATGTGTTTTAAAATTCAGATTTGCTGTGACCCATGTTAGCTAACTGCGGTTAAAATAGCAGTGAAGACACAGCTAATTCAGGTTAGCAGGTAGTTCAACCCCAGACTCCTGTACAGGCTTTAACCTGCACTGCCATCTCTTCCGTGTTAGTTTAACCCAGATTAGCCAGAGCGGGTTAGCTGCTCTGAGTTAGGAACACACCTTTAATTTGCAGAGTAGATGCACCCTTTGGAAGCAAAAGACTTTTTGTACACTGAACATTATGAATGAGTATAGGCAGATAATTGTCACTTAACTATCTGCTTGCTAAGGATAGACACCTTTCGTCTTTGGAAAGTCACACAGGCTTAACTGTCTATATATTTTAAATGATTTTGCAATTTTACCTAATAAATCATAAGAATTTAGAACTTAATCCGAGCAAGTGCTCCATGCTGGTTTCCTAACCCTGTACTGATTTCCTGTCACTATTTCTCATTGCTTCCCACTTTATAAGAAAAACAACAACAACTGTGGCTTTATGTTTAGTGTTGCTTCAAATCCAGCAGCAGCTGTCTTCTCCCACAAACTCCTATAGTCCACAGATAGTATCTCCTTGAGGTGCATTGCTCATAGGAAAACCTCTCTCTCTTGTTTGACCTTCTATTGATCTGAATAAATTCCACGCTGTCTATTCTGTTCAGATAATAGGGCTCTATGCTCCTTTTTATCTGACTTTATGTGCAAATTAAATGTATCACAGCAAAGTGAAGTATAGTAATTGCTCAGCTGAACATAGTACCAATGAAAACACCACACCATTCACATGCTGGAGCTACTCAGCAGCCTGCAGTAATACGGCATGTACCTAGTTACTCTGAAATCCCTGTCTCTGAGTGGAGAAAGCATTCATCTATAGAGACAGATTTAGCCTGTAGCTTTGGAGGAACAATTTCCCCCAGCGCTCCAGGGCATGTGAACACTGCACCTGGGGGATGGTACGAAAGGCTTCCTTCTTTGAAACTGGCCAGCTGCATGGGTTGCATAGAAGAAGCAGACCCTAAGCTCGTCCAGGTGAAAGACTGATTTGCTCTGACCATTATGTTAGGTGCATAAGAGAAAAGGAAGCTCCATGCATGCTGTTTTTCCTCCTCCTCTGACTTCTGCATTAAGGACTAGGACAATTTGCTCCAAAGTTAGGGATATTAAAATAATGAATAGACTCAAATCCTGATTGATCACATTTGCTAAATACAGAGATAATAAACCATCTCAGGGACCCAACTGTGCCTGTCCCACTGCGGCCATCCCTGTCAACAGAGAAATGCAATGAAAGGATCATTGCAATGCTTAGAACTTGTTGGGATGAAGATCCAGGGAGAAGGCCAATGTTCTCCTCTGTGAAGAGAGAGTTAAGAGATGCAAGCCCCGAAGGGTGAGTCCCTCTTACCTGTCTGAGAATGATACCAGATATACATTGTGCTTTTCATCCAGCAGGCTCCCAAAGTGTTTTATAGATGGCATCCATTATGTATGGATTACTCACACACTGCTGAAATGCAGCTGCATCAGAGATAGGATGTAGCAGCTGTTTAACAGCCCACAGCACCACTGCAGGATAGTTTAGAACAGGAAGATAAAGAGTTAGATTTTCCCAATATCTCACCTTTCTGACTATAAGGATAATAAAGATCTGGCATAGGCTTCCAAGAGAGGCTTTGGAATCCTGTCACAGGAGGTTGGACAAACACCTGTCAGGGACGGTTTAGATTACTTGGTCATTTCTCATCACAAAGGGCTGGTCTAGATGATCTCTCAAAGCCCTTCCAGTCCTACATTTCTGTGATGGTATGAATAATGTCCACCTGAAACCACAGTTGAGGGGTGGGGTGGGGGGTTAAATGGATGTAGTTAACTTGAAATCTAGTCAGTTTTTAGAAGAGAGTTTAAAGTTATTTCCAAGTACTGTAGCTCCTCCCTGTCAATGTTTGCATTTTTGCAATGACATTTTTCCTAATGGTGAAATGTTTTTCTTTCCTCTCTTGAGTGAAAGACCCACAGGGTGGAAACTGTGGGCTATACAGGAGGAATCATGAAACTAATGATAGGCAGAGTACTGCCAAAGTAGACTGAAAAAAACAGGCATTTTATGCTCTAATCTTTTTCACTTACAGTGTCTTAAGTGTTACCAGTAATAAGTATGTAAAAAACCAATCGGACAAAAATATATTTAAATTGATCATATTTTTAAGTAGTCAGCATGTAATTGTCCACAGCAGAATGTGGCCGGGATGCCAGGCTACCACTTTGAGTCTTGTAAGGGACTTTGGTTTGAGGTTGTCCCTTCTGGCAGCACAGTGCTCCCAAAGACGATGCGGGGGCATTGGGTCAGGACTAATACTATCTGCAGGTTGTATAGTCTCCATGGATTGCTCTTATCCAAGTTAAATGATGAGATCTGATGAAAGGCCCATAGTGGGGAGTAGCCAAGTATCAGAAGTCATTTCTCCCCCATGGACTCTAGATGCTAGAGGGGATCTTTGATGGAAATGGAAGTGGAATCCATTTCCATCAAAGATCCCCTCTAGCATCTAGAGTCTAGAGCATCAATATTTTGTATTACTTAGTGCTATTATGTAAATTAAAAGCAATATTTGTTTGAACAATTCAATTAGCCACATCAGCATCTTGGATAACATGGTAAACAAACTGGAAAAGTATGCCAATCACTTGGAGGATGTGGTGGAAGAAAGGACAGCCCAGCTGGTGGCAGAGAAGAAAAAGACGGATACGCTTTTGTCAGCAATGTTGCCCAGGTAATCAAGCAGCTTTTGTATTTTCATAAGTTTGTCGACAATAGAATTTGGTGCAAGACAGAGCCTTTCCTACTCAGTGCGTCTCGGAATGCTTTGCAAAGTACTGGAGTCACTGAACCACTGGTAGTACAGTGTCTCCTGAAGCTGAATGTGGCAATCACATGCTCAACAGCTTTGGACAAAAGGTCTCATTCTACTGAAAAACTTGTGCATTGTAGCCTTGGGTTCTAACTAATGAATGGTAATTAAGCAATTAATTAGTATTATTCGTTATATTGTGATAGAGCCTAGAAGCTCCAGTCAGGGACCAGGAGCCCATTGTGCTAGGTGCTGTACAAACATAAAAAAAAAAAGACTGTTCCCCCAAATTGCTGACAGTCTAAGACAAAGGACTACTGCTGGGTACACCAAACATGAGGAGCAGAAGGAAACAATCAGACTGAACTGTTCAACAGAAGTTGTGGTCTCAGCACGCCAGCTTCCTTAATCCTTGACAAATATTTTGTAGGTATAGCCTGAATCCATGCTAGCCAGCATCATTTTAAAATGCATTTAATGCTGTGAACTTCTTTTTGCTCCACTGACCTTCACTCTCCCACACCTCTCTGGCAAGTGGCCACTTTTCTCTGTTGCACCCTCTTCCCCTCCAGTAGATGCTTTATTTTGGGGACCTTTTGCCAAAGTGGAAGCTGGTGTAAATCCAGATTGAATCTGATTTGGGGATCTTTAAGGCAGCCTTCAGAGTGCTTTAAATAGGCCATTTGGTGTATTTCCCAAACACGCAGGACGTTAAGGCCAAATGGATTTATTCTGAGGTGGAGGGAGAGAGCGAGCAAGCAAACAAACATGAAGGAAATGATTGCTTTCTCCTCCTGTCCCAGCTTCGTCAGAGAGCAGCTCATTGCTGGGAAATCCGTGGAGCCTGAGAGTTTTGATTCCGTGACCATCTTCTTCTCAGATATTGTTGGGTTCACCAGTTTGTGTTCTCTCAGCAACCCCCTGCACGTGGTTAATCTCCTGAATGACCTGTACAGCCTGTTCGATAACATCATTAAAATGTACGACGTATACAAGGTGAGACATGCTGCTTCTCAGGCAGCACAGTTGCTGGGCCCAGTGCTGCAAGCAGTGTGTTTGCAGAACTTCCATCAAAATCAAGGGAAGTTTCCTGGAGAGAGAGCACTCACAGAGTCAGGCCCCCTCTCTGTAGTCACTTGCATCCAAAACCAGTAATATCACTGACTTGCTGCTGTTCCAGTTGTTGATGGTTGAGTGCAGTCAGTGGCAGAAACATGACTAGAATGTAGAAGATCTTAACTCCCGGTTTTAAGCTTAGTTCACTAGTTTGCACTGTCTCTCATATTGGCTATTATTTGCCCTGTGCCCCAGACACGTAACGTGCTGCCTAAGTGCTTTGTTTTCCTTGCTACAGGTTGAAACAATTGGAGATGCCTACATGGTTGCCAGTGGCCTTCCCATCCCCAATGGAATGAAGCACGTTGAGGAAATTGCTACAATGTCTTTGCACTTCCTTAGTGCAATGATCCATTTCAAGATAGGGCACATGCCCAATGAGAAGCTGAAGCTGCGGCTTGGCATTAACACAGGTAAGTAGCATTAATTTGGATTTTTGCCTGAGTAAAGACTAGAGAACTGGTGGCCAAATGTTAGTTTTAATCTTGGGTATGGGTATGGGGTTCATCCTTAATTCACTGTAGCACATATTGAGCAGTTACCGCATGAGATAAGGAGTTAGAAATTCTGGATTCTCTTTATACCTCGGCCGTGATTTGCTGTCTGACCGTGGCTACTTACAGAACTGCTCTGTACCCTCAGTTTCCCCATCAGCAAGCTGGCAATATTAACATTCAGTATCCTCACGGGGTGTGGGGGAGATTAATTAGTTTCTATTTTTAAGCGCTTGGAGATCCTTGGTTGAAAGGTTCTATAAAGGTGTAGAACATTAATATCAGACATTCAGAAGTGCGTACAGTGCTCTTTCCTGCGTTTGTAAATCACTGTGTAAATGTAAAATGTTTACATAGCACTGTACAACGATTATACTGTAGTCATGTTGGGCTTCTGCTTTAGTACCCATCTAAGGAATGACACCTCCATTCTCAACTGGTGCTTTCCATTTCCTATCCAAGTAATACTGGCACAGCTTGGCGTCTATGCTGACAGAAGCTCAGTGCAGCATATACCAGCAAGATCATTTAGAGGTGCATTTCAGTGGTCGGACTCTTCCTGAAAAGATAATGCATGTATCCAAGGTCATCTCACAAATACTGGCCTAAAACTATAACGTTACCTGCCATTGGAGTGAATGGGATCTAATTTCTACAGCTGGGCAAAATTTTTCGGATGAATAGTTTATTTGCTGAAAAATGCAGTTTCAGACAACATGAAACTTATTCAAAAATTTGACGCAAATGTGTGAAAAAGTTTCATCTGCAAAAATGGAAGAGGAGGCCACGTCCCCTATAACTTTTTAGCCCAGTGTGTGTAGGGCAGTCACCGGAGATGTGGGAGGCCTAGGTTCTCAAATTGACAGAGGTCAGGAAGAAATCTCCCTTATGGGCAGATTATTACACAACTGCCTGCTGCTATAGAACGTTTTGAAACTTTCTCTGAAGCATCTGGTACGGTTGGAGTCAGGATGTTGTTGTAGATGGACCACTGATCTCCTCTAGTATGACAATATCTATGTTCCTTTCTCAGGGTGTTTCAGTGACAACTGCAAACTTTCGGGAAATAATTGTCTGAATGTTTTGATCTTCATACATGTCTCAGTTCTAATAACACAACTAAGCATTTCTATGCTGTTTTAATAATCCCTAGCTCTTTTCCCTCCATTGATCATAAAGAGCCTTAGAAAAGAGGTCAGTATTATTATCCCCATTTTGCAGATGCATAGCGAGATTAAGTGATTAGTCCAAGGTCACCCAGCAGGCCCCTGGCAGAGCTAGAAATTGTACGCATATTAGTTTTTACAGTAACAGTCAGATGAGCTAGGGATTATTGCCATGTTCGCAGAAACATAGACAATAAGTCATGAGTTGCGCAAGTCAAGAATGGAAGTTGGTATCAAAACTGGGATTAGAATTTAGGAGTTGCACATGCCCATGCTTGGGCTCCAGATAGGAGACAATGACACTCCTTCATTTAAACTCCTTCTCCAGTGCCTAGTTAGGAGCCCCAGTGTGGGGCAAAGTTGCTTTGCATAACACCTTCTGTCTTGATAGCTTTATGGTTTGTGCTTTCTTTTTGTACTTTAGGACCTGTTGTTGCAGGAGTGGTGGGAATCACAATGCCACGGTACTGCCTGTTTGGAGACACTGTTAATATGGCATCAAGGATGGAAACTACCAGTTTGCGTAGGTACCATTTTTGAGGAGTTTGCAGTCATCCTGCATGGAATTTTTTTTAACCACAAACAGAGGCAGTGTTACACTTAACCCATTGTTAATTGACATTTTTTGTGTCAAACGTTTGCCATGCAATGCTCTGATAATCCAGTTTGATGAACCCTGAGGGTTTCTTACATCTGAGATCATTGTTGTCCGATAACTAGTTCTGACAAAGCGCTTTTCATCAGCAGATCTCAGAGCGCTTTACAAAGGAGGTCAGGATCATTATCCTTATTTTACTGTGAGGGACAGAGAGGTGAAGTGACTTGCCCAAGCTCACTCAACTGGCCTGTGCCAGAGCCAGGAATAGAACCCAGGTCTCCGGAGTCCCAGTTCATTGCTCTGTCCATTGCTATCCACAGTGACAATGTTTCATGTTTCACAACCAACTGGGATGTCCAATCTTTGAAGAACTCAAAATGAACATGGTGTTTTGTGTGTTTGTTACTGCCCTCAGACACACATGACTGTGCATCATAGACCCTATACTGCTACATGGAGAGGTCTTTGCTTGCTCATTTATTTCTCTGCTGATGCCATGAAGCTCTGAATGACCATATTGTGCAGCGTAGTGACAACTGTGAAGACCTAGATAGCCATGGATACCAAATATTAAAAGAGAAAGTTTGAGGTTTATATAATAAATACCATGCTTTTGCCCTGGGGACTGTTTCTGTCAAGTGACTTCATTTTAAATGGAGTCAGACTAAAGCCTAAATCTTAATTACAAACCCTTCTGAACAGGAGGAAAGATTTGGGCCAAAAATGAAACACAACCTTTAGGAAGATAAACGTTAAGTTCTAAACAGATTGATCCTGCCCCTTTAACTAGTTAATCCTCCCCAGCCAGCCAGTCATATACATTTATAAAATAAGTAAATAGATTTATTTTGCTGTAGCTCTCCGAATCCATGTCTCCGCAACCACTGCTAATGCCTTGCAATCCATCGGTGGGTATGACCTGCAAGAAAGAGGGACCATAACAGTAAAGGTACGAACATTAAGAGTGCAGAAGGGAGCCTATCATGCCAAGTAGGTAGGTCTAATATACTAGACAGCATATGGAGGAATTTTCGAACATGTACAATGTATGCAGAACATATGCTTTCCTGGGTATGAACTGATGTTAATGCATCAGTGCAAAAACAAAACAACAAACATGTAGAGGTGTTCATAGGGTAACCAGACAGCAAATGTGAAAAATTGGGACGGGGATGGGGGCTCATAGGAGCCTATATAAGAAAAAGACCCAAAAATCAGGACTGTCCCTATAAAATCAGAACACCTGGTCACCCTAAGTGTTCAGTACTATGGTGTGACTGAAATCAGACACTTCCATCATTTTGTATATGATAACTGTCTGCCTAACATAGGACAGTGCTTTGCAAACTAGAATTAAGCATTCCAGAAAAACAGGACTCAATGCTGTGAAGTCTTTGTGCTTTCACAGCCCTTTCAGCATCTCACATCCTTGGATCCTGTGCATGGTTTTTACCTTGTCATGCTCTATGTTGATATTACTATTCTTTATTGCTTATGTTGCTGGAGTGCCTTGAGGCCCCAATAAGAGACCGTGGCCTCATCATGCTAGCCACTGTACCAAAGTATAATCAAGAGATGGTTCCTGCTCCAAAGACCTTACAGTTAGAGCTTGCCAGAAGTTTTCTGATGGAACAGTTTCATTGGAAAATACCCATTTCTCAAACCTGAAATATTTGAGAAAAATGGTTTGAGTTCCAGCGTCCATGGCTCTGGGTCAGCTCTGCTATGCAGACTGCCTTGGGGCCAGGGACCCTGGACTTCCAAGTGGGCTACCTTACGACCCAGCTGGTCAGGGAATCTGGAAGGCCTGGGGTCTCCTGCCCCAGAGCAGTCCAGGCAGCTGCTGACTGAAATTGACATTCGTGTCAATTTCATGAGCGCAGTAGGAATTTCAGTCAGTAGCAGTCATGGTTTCAGGCAGGGCTGGTTTTAGAGGTGGGAAGTCAGGACATCTGCCCTGAGCACTGATATTGAGGGGCACTGGATCATTGTACTTGGGGGTGCCAAATCCCTGGAGGCAGGGAGGGAGTTGGTTTGATTTTTTTTTTTTTTTATTGCACCTTTTAAGTATGGGGGACACCAAAAATATTTTCCGTCCTGGGTGACAGAACACCTAGGGGTGGCCATGGTTCCAGGGAGCCTATTTCTTTTTGAAAATGCCACGTGTCGATGTTTCTAAAACAATTTTTTCCCCAAGATTTCCAGTTTGGGGGAAACTGAAAAATTTGGAACAAAACCAAATTCTGAAATACCAAATTATCCCACAATCCAGACATTTCTAGTTTGGGCCAGCTCTACTTACAAGCAATGCGTTTCTTCCCCCTCCCCCCCCCCATCCCCGATTCCTTTGTACAACTCCACTTTCACTTCTTTCTGTTGTCAGGGCAAAGGAGAGCAAAGAACGTTTTGGTTAAAAGGAAAAGCTGGCTTTGACTTGTCTCTCCCAGAGTTCAGTGACAATTTGTGAGGCTGTTTAAAGGAAACATTGCAGGTAAGACAGTGATTAGATTTCTGTAGGGAAGGGTGTTAAATCCATATGCTGATAATTGCAGTATACAGTTCAAGGACTGGAGGAGTGATCTAACATGTGGGTCTACTGAAGCTACTAGTTGTGGCTTTGCCTCTTAGGAGGTATGTTTGTGCTGCAGTTGGGAGCGTGCCTCCCAGTCCAGATAGACGGGCATGCACTAGTTCTGCTTGAGCTAGCAAGCTAAGAATACCAGCACATCCCGGGCTAGACACCAGAGTACAAGCCCACCTGAACCCCTAGGTCCGTACTCGGGTGGCTAGCCCGTACTACGCTGTCCACACTGCTAGTTTTAGCATGCTACCTTGAGCAAAGCAAGTGTTTGTCTGTCTGCTTTGGGAGACATGCAGTGCAGAAGTATCCTTATTGAAATATACGAGATTTTGGAGTGATTAACCTGACTCCTCGGGTGGTTTAAATCAGTGTTGCACCATTGACTGCAGTGGAATTATGCTGTTCTGCATCACCTCAGGATCTGAACCATTGTGTGTTATCCAAATATTCTAGTTCCGGCATGACGGTCTGAGTTCAACAGAGGCCTGGCGGGGTAATGGCATCGTGGTTCATGAGGATTGTGAATAACAGTTCCTGGGCTATGAGATGGGATTATCACTTACAATAACATTTTCAACCCACACTGTTTTGGTTGTTAAATCTGAAAACAGCAGGTTATTCCTTGCCCATTAACTCCTAGACTCAATTGAAACTCAATCCACTTGGGATCTATGCTGGCATAGAAGTGTAACCAACTGTTTAGTGTGTGTTACGCAGCCCACCGCCACATGGCCAATCCACATAGCATCTGAGTCTCTTAAAGCTCCCAATTATAAGACAGTACTTAAACTCAAGATGTAAAGGTTTTGGAGCTCCCTGGCTCAATCCCTGGTCATGACCAAAATGGCAGTTGTCACAGGTGCACATGAAGAACTCTCCATTCATGCCAATGGGATGTTCTCCTTTAAAAGCAATGGTAGGATATGACCTTTGGTACATAAGAAATAGAGGGAATTAAACTAGTCTTTGCACCACGTTATAGCATATTCACTGGGTAAAATTCAATTCTGTCATAAACAGATGACATAAGTAAGATCTATAGTACAGGACAGGACGAGGAGTAATGGTCTCAAGTTGCAGTGGGGGAGGTTTAGGTTGGATATTAGGAAAAACTTTTTCACTAGGAGGGTGGTGAAACACTGGAATGCGTTGTCTAGGGAAGTGGTGGAATCTCCTTCCTTAGAAGTTTTTAAGGTCAGGCTTGACAAAGCCCTGGCTGGGATGATTTAATTGGGGATTGGTCCTGCTTTTGAGCAGGGGGTTGGACTAGATGACCTCCTGAGGTCCCTTCCAACCCTGATATTCTATGATTCTGTGATTCTATATGAGCAATTCATTTGGCCTACAGTCTTTCCCAATATGAGGACTATTTGGCTTGTTGCATTAAAACCTTGGCAAATCCTATCTCTACCCACAGGAGATGCCCTTTCAAAGCAGATGAAGTTTTGTATCTTCCTATTTATGTTCCTTTACTAGTTGATTAGAAGACAAGACTGAGAGTGTGTTGCAATCCTATGCAGCGTAGTCTTTAAGAGGGGAGAGAAACATTTTTACCATTTGTAAGCTGATGATGCATTAATATGCATAGCCCACCAAAAACATCCTGGAAACAGAAAGCATGTTATGCATTTTGAAAGCTTTATATAATTAGGAAGCAAAAAGCTCAGGAAACATTTGCACCGCTGTGCTGTGGCACATCAAGAATTTGGAGACTGGCATTTTTCTTCTCAAGATATTTTTGCCTTTTGGTTGAGATGTAAAACCCAAAGGGCCAGATTTTCTGGTCTGCAAAGGCCCTTTTGTGTTGCGCCGATGGCTGCAAGTGACCGTAAAACTAGAGAGTGCCAGTGGAGAATCCGCCCTGTTCAGGAGAATTCTCTACTGGTGTACGCCAGCGTCCCCCTCCTACCCAGAGTAAGGGGAATGAGAGAATGTGGGTGAGATGGGGCAGGGAAGAGCTCTGCTACACCCAATCCTCTTCTGGTGTAGGCCCATTATACCACGTACAGGCAGCCCTGAAATGGGGGAGCCATTGCAGCTGTTAATCTCCATGATAGCTGAGTACAGCTCAGGGAATGAAGAATTAGGACCAGCTTAAATTCCTAGGCTAGGTGGCTATGCACTGATATGCCACATTCAAACCAAGAACGCACTGAGGTGAAATAATTCTTATAATGTGTTAAGAGCCCAGTCCTGAAGTGCTCATGTGGCCAAACCTTTCTTAACTTCAATGAGCAAAACTCCCACACCCGGACTGCAGAATTGGGGCTACAGGTTTTGAATCCATTTGTAAAACATTTTGGGATCCTTCTGAAAGAAAGTCACTGTCACAAGATGGGCTGGCCCTTTAAGGGATTTGGACCCAGCCCCACCTGTGCCTTGTCGTCAGGACCCTGGTGATGAGTTTGGGCTTCAGCCAATGGTTGGGTCTGGTGACCAGGCATCATGTGATGGTAGCCCGTTGGCAGGGCTTCTGATAAGAGAGAGCCTGCTCCCTCAGAGAAAGGGAGGCCAGGAGCAAGGACAGACCTGGGAGAGGGCTCTCCAGACAAACCCAGAGGGGACCTGGCAGAGGTGCCCTGCTCAAAGGGATGCGGGGAGCTGAGAGAGAGAGAGCTGAGGTCCAAACCTCTGATATAAAGGAATCTGGGGAGAGAGGCCTGCAGGGATCTAGGGGGAGATACCAAGGAAAAGGGCTTCCCTCATCACTGAAGGGAAAAGGCCTGGCTGGAGCAACCTGCAGTTAGTAGCAGGAGCAGAAACCTTAAGAGATGTAACAGCTGTAAAAGGAAGAGGCTTGAGGAAACACTAGGCAGGAGAAGCTGGGTTTTTGGAAAGAAGCCCAGCGAGAGGCTTAAGAAACTGGAGTGGGGAGACAGGAGAAAGACTTGTTTTAGCTGCTACTATACTTGTTGCTTTTTTATAATTGTGATGATGTCTTAATAAACCCAGACCCCAAGAAGGGGTAGTATTAGACTCGCTGGGCACAGTTTTTGAGAAACCCAAGAAGGGGAAACTGAGTCAGCAGCAGGGTCCCATGCTGGATCAGGCCTGACCCTGTTACAGTCACCCATATAAAGGAAGTCCTCATCTCCTCTGCATTGAAAATTGAATCATATTGTGCCACTTCTCCCTGAGGTTCTTGACACTTTGGATCACCATCACCTTCTTGTTGCAGTAGGAGGAACTCGTTGCTGGGACTATTGAACACAATACAAACTGAGGCCATTTAACTGCAACATGGAATGAATGGAAGACTAATATCATCGTTCAAACACTGCACTGATGAATGCAGAGATCTTCAGAACTAGACAAATATCTTTCTTCCCCACCAACCACAGCAGACCCCCGTCTTCTCTTGTCTTGGAAGGTGATCTCTTGTAGAAGCTAAATAGATTGTTGTGAACAAAATGGGCTAAAATCTCTTGCAACCAGCCACATTCCAGAATGAACCCTCAGATACTAGCAATGTAAATAGCAATAAGTTGGAAATTAACAACCATGAACAATATGGAGATGAGCAAAATGAAGGTTAAGTGCAGTTTCCCTTCTCTGCATTACAGGCCCCATTAAATAATGTTTCAGGTCTTTCCCTTGTAGGTCAGAATGCTCCTGGATTCCCTGGGAATAGCAGCTGGGTCACCACTGCAGCCTGTACGTGCTGCTCCAGACTGGTTGAGTTGCCCCCTTTGGGATGGGGACTGATTTGGCTGAAACCCCCTAAGGAGTTGTATACCCAGTCACAAGCCCAAATCCAAATCACTTCTGAACTTTGGGGAACAACCGATCCACATTTGGATCAGGATCCAAACTTCGTAGCTTGTGTTATGACCACATGCAGCTAGTTGCATGGGCTAAATCAGGAGCGGTGTAATATCAGCTGGGAGGTTTGGCACTTAGACGCTTGGTTCCACAACTGGCAGGGACTATGGGAATTCTGTGACACACTCAGCTCCTGGGAACACATGGGTGCGAGACTCACCTTGGTGCAAAATAACAGCTGCTGTATCATCAGTAGCAGCGTTAATGAACCTATCAAGGGAGCTCAGTTCAGGCTTCCTACGCAAGAGTTGTGGAACCAGACAATCTGATACAGGAATAGATAACCAACATGGACATAAGAACCTGCCTTTGGTGAAGGTGCAGGGTAGACCCAGAGCCAATACTGTCTAACCTTCACATTTCATGACATGAGCATGTTAATCCCTTCTGGCATGGACAGGCGGAAAGCTTTAGGCAAGAAAGCAGCTGGGAGGAGTTGCTAATGTTAGGGGAGGTGAGCAAATAAAGAATGAAAAAAGCCACGTGAAACTTTTGTGGAGTCAAGATGCTCTGTGAATCTCTGAAACGTTCAACAGGATCTGCTGGGGTCTAGGAAATATCTCAAAGCAGTAAAATCTCATTGACATGTCTTCTCGTGAGCAGTTTTACTGATAGGAACAGGCCTAAGTGAGGAAAGCCATCCACCTAATGTAAACCCAACCTAGCTAGAACAATTTGGCTGGAGACTATGCACTCTAGGCTCAAAAGGCTAAATACAGTCGGATCTGATACTATTATCTCAGCGGTCGTCATAGTGGATTCTGCTTGTCACTTATTTTAGCTAATAGGAATCCTTGCTTTAAGCTACTTATAAATTAAACTACCTATATTAGATGCCTTACACCTATTTACGCAAATAGTGCCCAGAGTGAGAGAGAACCTATACAGAATTTGAGAATTGTAGACATACAGCATCATCTCTGAATACTCTAGCAAGGAAAAAGGAGGACAATAAGTTTGAAAGGTATTTTACTGGAATTACTTTAGGGTTTCCCCCCGGCATTAGCTTTAGCGGTGTTGACTTTCATGTGCTGCCATAGTTTATGTAATAGGTTAACACAGAA